CCCCCCCCCCCCCCCCCCCCCCCGACACGCAGCGAAGTAACAGACGTGTGCACATGCACAAAAGTCATGGCAAATTGCTTTCCCGTTCGCCGAGTTGACCAAATGTCATTGCGAACATCCAGCAGATTTGGACCACACAAAGGCAACTTAAACATGACACGTTGTGGTATGTTGTCGTGACGTACACTTGATACCTTACCATAAGACAATGCAAAACGCGAAACAGAGGAGCGCACGCCCTCGCTAGGGCACATTCATTTCTTCTGAGAACCCAATGCATGGCCCAGGACTGCTCATGCTACCGTTCTGCCTGCAGAGCAACTAACTAATCTGTCACCACGAACGCGTCGGGCTGGCTCCCTTCTGCCTTAATAGAAATTGTCCAGCTTACATCTTGGAGGGGTTACGGAAGTGCTTGCCGGCGTACTTGGCGCCGCTGCCGAGGGCCTCCTCGATGCGCAGCAGCTGGTTGTACTTGGCGAGGCGCTCCGAGCGGCACGGGGCGCCCGTCTTGATCTGGCCCGTGGCGAGACCCACGGCCAGGTCGGCGATGTACGAGTCCTCGGTCTCACCGCTGCGGTGCGACGTCATGACGCCCCAGCCGTTCTTCTGCGCGAGCGCGACGGCGTCCACGCTCTCCGTGACGCTGCCGATCTGGTTGACCTTGAGCAGGAGGGCGTTGCAGGCCTTCTTGTCGAGCGCCGTGGCGATGCGCTTGGGGTTGGTGCACAGCAGGTCGTCGCCCACGATCTGCACCTGCTCGCCGATGCCGGCGGTGAAGGCCGAGTAGTGCGTCCAGTCGTCCTGGTCGAACGGGTCCTCAATGCTGATGATGGGGAACTCCTTGGCCAGGTCCTTGTAGAGCTGGCCCAGCTCCTCGCCCGTGAGCAGGTCCGTGGAGCCCTCCGTCTTGAAGTCCAGGTCGTACTTGCCGTCCTTGGTGAGGAACTCGGACGAGGCCACGTCCATGCCGATGCCGATCTTGCCGTCGTAGCCGGCCTTGCTGATGGCCGTCATGAGGAGCTCCACGCCCTCGCGGTTGCTCTGGATGTTGGGGGCGAAGCCGCCCTCGTCGCCCACGTTGGTGGCGTCCTGGCCGTACTTCTTCTTGATGACGCTCTTGAGCTGGTGGTACACCTCGCAGCCCATGACCATGGCCTCCGAGATGCTCTCGGCGCCCGTGGGCAGCAGCATGAACTCCTGGAAGGCCAGCTTGTTGCCGGCGTGCGAGCCGCCGTTGATCACGTTGAAGCTGGGCACGGGCAGCACCAGGTTCTTGTTGCCGATGAGATCGGCGAAGTGCTGGTAGAGCGGCACGCCCTTGGCGGCGGCGCCCGCCTTGGCCACGGCCAGCGACACGCCCAGGATGGCGTTGGCGCCCAGCTTGCCCTTGTTCTCCGTGCCGTCGATCTCGCGCATGAGGTCGTCGATGGCGCGCTGCTGCGTCGGGTCCTCGCCGATGAGCTTGGGGGCCAGCACGCTCTTGACGTTCTCCACGGCCTGCTGCACGCCCTTGCCGGCGTAGCGCTTGCCGCCGTCGCGCAGCTCCACGGCCTCGTGGATGCCCGTGGACGCGCCCGAGGGCACGGACGCGCGGAAGATCTCGGAGCTGCCCGAGAGCGTCAGGTCCACCTCCACCGTGGGGTTGCCGCGGCTGTCGATGATCTCGCGCGCGTGGATGGACTGGATCGTGCTGGCGTTGCGCGTGGCGCCGGCGGCGGCGCGGCGCAGGGGGGCGGAGGCGCGGGCGAGCATTGGGGCGGGTAGGGGGATGCGGGGGGTCGGTCTTGCGGAGCTCGGGGCGAATGGCAAAGTCAGTGACGACGGCGCCCAAGCCGGTGGACGCCGACCAAGCAGAAGATTCGCGTCGCGATACTCGATAGGATCGGGCGACGGTAGCGCAGGCAGGTTGGGCTACGAGAGGTTAAGTAACCTGAAGTTACACGTAAATATGTGAGTAGATACATTACGTACTATGCAAGTAAAGAGGGTATTGGCATCGGCTATGGGAGGGAGCGGTGACGTCGGCAGCAGAGACCCGCGATCTGTGTGCCGGCGATGTGGCACTGCGGGCGCGTTTTTCAGCCAATGGCGAGGAAAAGATGGTGAGTCCGCGCCCTTTCACTGGCCAATCGCGCGATTTGAGGCGCGACGAACGCACCACAGATGGCTTGCTCATCGCACTCGAGATTTGAAGCCCCGGAGCCCAAGCAGCCCGAGAGCAAGAGAACCGCCTCGCACAACGGCCGAGCTGCTGCAAAGGAGAGAACGAAGACACCCGGTTGTACTGCGTTTTATGGCGCGTAATGGCTGCGTGAGACTTTGCCTGGCGTGCTGTCCTGCCTGCTCTGTCGACTTTGGTGCTGTCACGACGGGGGATTGATGGAATGAGTTTTGTGCAGTTCCGAGTCCTCTTCTGCTCAGACTGCAAGCTGCCGCAGCCGCAGCATTGCTGCGCGTTGTACGGGGACTGGCGATGCTGATTCCGAGATGTCTTGTGCGTTGAGATAGCTTTGTGCGCTCTGGTCGGCATAGCTGAACGCTGTTGGCTGGTTGTTCAGCCGATGGTTGGAGCTGCAGCTATGGCAGCGCTGATGGTGGTAAGATTGAGAGTGCTAACGAGACAATGCGTGTGTCATGCGATTACGCGCTGGGTTGAGAGCATTAGATTCTTGGTGGCATCGATGCTCAGGTTCAGTGCCGTCGTACCTGTACTTCAAGCTGCGCCATACTAACTATTGTATCCGCCAACATGGCTTCAGCATCTCCATTGTGACTGTTCTCACTCCAAGTGCGTAGTGTGAAGAAGGTGTCGGCTTTGACACGCGAGCGAAGGTCTGCTTCTCTCGCATCTGGCCGAGTGGATGAAATCATGGCGATCCTGTGATCGACCAAAAATAGATTCGCATCATGCCAAGCAGAGTCAGGAGCGGGTAGCAGTTATTATTGTACCGGCCGATTGGGATCGGTCACCACCACCCTACTACCCCCGATAAATTCGCCAATATTCATCCAAATTGGACAAATCAAACGCCATTAGATCGAAGAGTAGATAAAGACTATCGCCCTAGTTTCGCTTCGATCGGAGCAGAACTCGCGAAGCTAGACGCGATGAGGCTGCGATTTTTGCTGCTCGATCAAAGCCAAAAATAGTGGCACTCTCGATAACCAGCGCCCTAACTTTTTTGCTACGACTCATATGAAAAATCTAAAAGCTCCATCATATTCGCGAGTGTCTTGGTTACGCATGGGGGTAATTGCAGTTTACCGCGCCGCGTAGATCAAATGCAGTGCTGCATTCTCCGGAAGCAGTTTTGCCCGTTTTGGGGCGGCTATCGACCATCATGACTCGAAAAATATCTTGATCTCAGTATGGGTGTCGTGCAAAAAGGCTAGCGACAAGACGAAGAAATCGGTCTTTTGACGAATAATATTTTAGGAGGCCCACAGCTTCGCCGTAATGTACGCAGCTTTGTCCAATAAAACAATCTCTCAGCGAATTTTCATATAAAGAAAACCTTGTCAAAAAATTCGGTCTAGAAAAAAAGTTATGGCTACACAAACTCGGTGACCGATGCCGGGACAATACACTTCTGCGATACTGCCTATGGTGTGTATGCAGCCTTGATCACTAACCAGTTGTGGGGTCAATCGCAAGCACAACTTGGATTAGTTTGGGTTTACATGGCATGTAAATTGTACCACTTCGTAGTATTCACGTACTCGTTTAGCAGCTAGTTCGTAAATTACGGATACCGTGTGTGCTTGAATGATCTCCAGAACTATTATATTCACGCAATACTTGGCGACAGAAAGATTTTCTTGACAACTTCGTATTTTATTTAATGCTACGGATTATCCCACAACTTTTCTTGGTCTTCAGTTTGCTGAATTCTTTTATGTTAAACGTTAAGTAATAACGAAGCAGTAGCTCCGGACCCGACGTGGCTGCCGTGCTCTGTATCGTTTTGGGGTTTCTGCCTTCTTTGAACATGAATGTATGACTTATGACGGCTACTTGGAACTCGCTGAAATAGCTGCTACCCCATACCCCATAATGATGTTGATAGGATTTCTGGAGCTGGCAAGTGTGCGTGGTAATCGTACGAACTAGGTCGTTTTCGACTTTGTTGGGAACACGTGTTGCTGCATCAGTACTGATGCTGGTGCTCATTGCTGTGGCAAGGGCGAACTGCGGCCCGCGTGATCAAGGGTGAGGTCATACCATGAATATCACGATGCCGCAGTTCACTTTCTGAAGCTGGTACGCGGTGCTGGATGGCGATGTGTGCTTCTGCCTCAGTTCACTGCACCGGCATCCACTCAACCCTGTGTCGGACTGCCGACAACTGGAAGTTGTCGCTGAAGCTGCTAGGTCCGACATGAGGTCGACATACTTCTGGTGAAGCACGAAAGTTGATTCAAGCCGAGTTACATTACCGCCGCGCAATTAATCCGTTGGGGCTGTCCACCCACCACCTCATTCTTCGAGAGTTCCTAGGCAGCATTTAACTTGCAACGTTTTTGTTTGAAGTTATTCGGCGAGCTAAGCACTGCTCACTACCAAAGGTAATAGGCAGTCACTGTTTCTACAGCAAGGAATCAAGGATGTCTTCGCTGTAATCGTTTCTTCAATAATAGTATGATGCGACGTGCTTCGAAATGAAGAGTTGCGAAACTAATACTACGTGCGTGCAAGTAGTAGACACTAAAGCAATAAGGAGGTGCAAACTTGCAACTGCATATTGCTTTCGTGTATGGTATCATGATTCATGCGATTTATACAGGGGTTCTTAGATAAAACAAAACCAGTTCACCGCACCGCGTTGGCCAGTTGGCACAATATCACTTTGAATACATCACTTCAATTTGCGCATCGGAAGAGGGGGCGTTTACTAATTTCTTGGCCTTCTTGGATATCGTTGCAGTGCAGCGAGACTTAATTTTGCCGAAGTCAGCGACAATCTAGCTTTGTCGAGGATCCGGCCAGACCGGTGGCCTGTTCCTGAGCTGGGTCTTTGGCGGAGCAGAGAGCCTCACGGCTTGCAGAACGAGTAGACTAGAGGAGAGAGAGAGGAGGGGGTCATCCTGTTATTACAGTAAAATGAAATCAGCTTGTGTTTGAAGACTTCGCTACATATCCTGCAGCTTTCAGAACCTCAACACGTGAACGTCTTGCAAGAAGAATGAAAAAAAGTGAAGCTGAGATGTAACGAGGTTGTGGACTCACCCTCTCCAGTAGTGTTAACTTCGCAGACAACGTTGCTCGCGCCAAGCTGCCATCCGTTCTACCCTAGAGCTCGCACCGAAACCATGCCATCCGGAGCATTACTGCTTGATGTGTCGCTCTGCTGGACGCTCGCAATTTGAGACGCCGCGATAGCACTGCGGCGCTCGGGCTCGTCGAGCACGAGCACGACCAGCAGTCAAAAGGGGCGCGACGGTCAAATGTGTGAGGCACGGCTTCGTCATGCGAATGCAGCGCCAGCTTCAGCATTCGCTCGAGCTGCTGTAGATCGGCCAGCGATGGCGTGCCCCTTTGTGTTGAAGATCGGCCGTGGGTTCCGATTCTGGGATCAACACCTGGCCGGTAGCGAGGTCGCTCGCTGCATCGGCCGGCCCGACGAGCTTGCTTCACACGACGACCTTGCTGGCAAGTTGTCAACGACAACGAGTTGTTCCTGCCACGACCAGCTCCGCTCCCGCGGCCCTGAGCTCGCGCCGTACACTACCACGCATGAGGCGTAGCCATCTGACCCGGGCCCTCCCTTGTCAAGGTCCTTGAAGCGGCCACCGAGTCCTGCCGACGCAAGTGAGATAACTGGCCGCAGCTGTCTCAATCTCAGCAAAATGAGCCCGAAGCTCTGCAGCCAAACCCGCCAGCCGGCGGTGCTGAACTCTGTTGACGCCGGCGGGCATGAGCGCAGACGGCCACCATCGCGGCGTGTTGTAGGGCAAATCGCCCAGGCGCGAGCGCCACGGTACAGTTTTGGCGGTCTCTCGCCGCCGCCATAGAGCTGGCCGACGCCACGAGAGGAAAATCCACCGCAAAATGGCCGCTACGCCTTCAGCCCGCAGCAAACAGTTCCGGCAATCGCAGGTTGCGAACGAAGCCCTTCAGACGACGTGTCTTCAGGCGTCGTTCATCCTGCAAACGCAGGTTCATGGGCGACTCCAGTGTAAATGTTTCAGCCCGGTTTCTCGGCGGTTTGGGAAAATTCCCGACAGCTGGCGCAGAGACCGGCCAATTCTATTGTAAATTTCTCTACATCCTGGAACTTGGCGCCATCCTCGGGCTTTCGCTGTTCGTCACGACAAGAGCGATCGACCGTCGCGTCCGAACGGGGCTAAGACCGAGCTGGAGCAAGGACGTTGTGTGAATGAGGCCGTTTGCCTACTGTAAGTTTCCTCACGCAAGTCGGCTCCATACCAGGTTGGTAGACCAGTCTTGACACCGCGAGCGCACGAGCGGGAAGGAGATCTTCAACATCGCCGTGTCGACCGTCGATGAGTTGGAGGGCCATGCCCCATCAGCTCAGCAGGGCTGCAACGCTCGCAGACAAGCTCTGGACTCGCCGTTGCCGCCGCCCAGCCAAGCCTTTCGGCGTGTGTCTAAATACACGGTAACTGCGCGCGCCTGCCATACAGGCGCGGCGGCGGCGTTAGCTACCTCGGCGACTAACGTTAATAGCAGATAGTGCGAGCGGCGGCGCCGTCGGCGTGGGCTCAAATGTGACGTTAGCTTGCAAGCTAGTGCCAAATTGTGGAGACTTTCGCCGAAAAATCCAGGCAAGTACTATTTTCCGGCATACTGGGCGCAAGTGAGCGGCCCGGCTGTCACCACCTGCTGGTTGAATCGCGCGCGACCGGCGTGACGGCTTCTTTTTCCCCTGCCATCCACCCATAGTCAGTTCTGCGCGTTACCAGCTCAGCGCCTTGTATTGCCGGTGCAGGGCGAACCGGACGTGTCAAATCCCCACCAGCTCCGTTGCGCGCACGCCTTGCGGTCGATCGACGGTACCGGTACATTACGATGCACAGTGTGATGGAGCACAGCAGCAGCACGGCCAGCAGTAGCAACGGCGGCGAGCGCAGCTTCGCAGACACCAGCACTTCCGAGTTCCCCATCCTGGGCGACACCGTCTCGCCCGTCACGCCCGACGGCCACCCCAGCATGCGCAGCAGCAGCAGCAGCATCCGCTTCAGCCCGAGCAAGCGCAAGCTGGCGCAGTCGCCGCTCTCGCAGACGCAGTCGTCCTCGGACTCGACCGCCAACTCGCTCACGGACCGCCTCACGATGATGAACATCCCGACGCAGGACCTCAAGGGCGCCGTCTTCTACGGCTGGCTCTGGAAGCGCGGCCAGTCCTTCAAGACGTGGAAGAAGCGCTTCTTCCTGCTCAACGGCGCCGCGCTCACGTACTACACGCAGTGCTGCGTCATCGCCTCGGACGTGCTGGGCGGCGGCACGCACTGCCTCGACCTGCCCGTGCGCGGCGGCCTGCGCGTGGCCAAGGCCGAGCTCTCGGACCTCACGACCTTCGGGCTCAAGATTACGAGCTCCAGCGGCCGCGTGCTGTACGTGCAGGCGGGCGACCAGGACGCGCGCACGCAGTGGCTCAACGTGCTTAAGGAGGCCCCGCAGATGCGCGGCGTCATGAGCCCCGCGCCCTTCCGCCGCACGATGGCCAGCGACCTGTCCACCCAGCGCTCGTACCAGGCCGAGAGCAGCTCGCCCTACATGCACACGGCCATGAGCGTGCTCAGCAGCGACGACGGCGACGATGACGCCTCGGACTGCGACATGCAGGGCTACCTGTACGTGCGCGGGGGCCTGCTGTCGGGCTGGAAGAAGCGCTTCGTGACGCTGACCGACGGTCACCTGAGCGTGCGCCGCAGCCGCTCGCAGCGCTGCTCGGACCCGCAGGAGGACAAGGGGCTCGTGGTGCTGTCGGCCGCGACCTGGAGCGGCCACGCGTACGGCATCTGCATCCGCCTCGAGAACCACAAGCAGCTATTCGTGCACGCCGAGCACGACGTGGACGCGTCCATGTGGCTGGACGCGCTCAAGAGCTGCTAAAGCTGTCCGACCAAGACGACAGGCACGAAGAGGGGGCACCGACCGCCCCGTTAACTGCGAAAGGAAGCAGACACGACCCACCACCTCTCGGCCACCACACCCACACACATCCAGGCCCTCCCACAGCCTCGGCATGGGGGGACTGCCATGTTGCGTTGCAGCCGTGCCCTCTCCCCCCCACTCCCTCCCTCGTACCCCAGCTAAATTATTAGAGACTGCGCGATAATTATGACCAAATCCACGTAGCCGCCCGCGAGAATGGCGGCATTTTGCGTCCAAAGAGCTCCTTTGCTGCGTCCTGAGTTAAGTAGATGTTGTCATTGCCATGGATGCCGGTGCATGAGGCAAAGTATCTGATACCGACCGGCCTGAAACGGCCTGGAAACGCCCGCCTCAGTCGCGAACCGAACACCCGAAAACCTCAGCTCAGCCGTCAGTTCGTCTGACGTGTGGATTTTTCCAGCGTGTCAAAGGCGCCAGACGCACGCAATAACGCAACGCCGGCTCGGCATTCTTCCTTCATGCATGCACTCGGGCATCGTTACTCCCCCTGACAGCCCAGCGCCTGATGTCAGCGCCGACGTGATGAAGCTGCACACCATCTGCAATCAGCATGGGGCAAACGCCGCGTTTACCTCACGTGCTACCGGTACCCATCGCGTACCGTATTCACGGTACAGCGAAAATATGTGTACAAAACACAGCGTACCACCAATACGGTACAGCATTGCACACAGGCGGTTAAATCGCACAATCTACCGCAACGATGTCCCGCTCGGCGCTGACGCGCCACGCGCTGCAGAAGTCCCTGCGCGGGCAGAGCGCGCAGGACCAGCCGCCAGAGGAGACCCAGCGCCGCGTCAAGCAGGACGAGCTGCCCATGTACGTGCTTCTGCCGGCGCTGATCTCGCTCTGTGGCCCGAGATATTCGATTTAACCTATTAACCCTCCTCTCTCACTGGCTGACCCGACAGCTACGGCAACGACTCGACGTACAACCTGAACACGCTGCTGCACCAGAACATCCTGCAGTCCGCCTACTTCCACGAGCTCTACAAGCTGCGCACATACCACGAGGTCGTGGACGAGATCTACTACCGAGTGGACCTTGCCGGTGCGTGACAGGTTAATTACCTCTCTTTGATTATTGAGGGGTTATATGATGCTAAACCGTGATGGCTGTTACTATGTGTAGAGCCCTGGTCGCCAGGCACCGCGCGCATCCCGTCGAGCTGCTTCTGTCTGCTGCACAAGTTCTTCCTCATGCGCCTCACGCGCAAGCAGATGCAGGGCCTGCTGCGTCACACGGTGAGATAGGTTAATGTCTGGGTTAAATGCTGGATGGAGGGTTATTGACTGCTGGTGCTTGTCGGACAGGACTCACCGTACATCCGCGTGGTTGGCTTCCTGTATCTGCGCTTCACGTGCGACCCTGAGGAGCTCTGGACGTGGTTCGAGCCGTACCTGGAAGACCCGGAGGAGTTCAACGCGTCCGCCAACCCGAGCTTGAAGACGTGAGTGCTTGTGGGGTGGATTGCCCAGAGGTGGTAAGGATGGCTACTGCTGCCTGGTTGATCGTAAGCTCGACGCTGCAGCGCGCCGTCCGATACTTGGGGTTCTTACTGTGACTGCTTATTGATGCCCAGGACCATTGGAGAGTGGCTGATCAGCCTGCTGGAGGAGAACAACTACTTCGGCACGATTCTGCCGCGCATCCCGAAGAAAATTGAGGACGGGATTAAAGTCAAGGTGAGTAGTGTGGGGTATATCTGTGCGGTGTGACAGAGCGCGGCGGGGTTTTGGGCGGAGTAGTGCCTTGTTGTTTGGTGGGCGTATTACACTCAGCAGCTCTCATTCCTACTCACTGTTGCTGACAGCGTAGCTAGCGTTCTAACTCATGTGTGAATATTTCCTGTTGTTAGCTACTGCTGCTGTCCCGCAAGAAAGAGCGCGCGAAAGAAAACTTGGCCATTGTGGATCGCCTGAAACCGGGCACGAAAATTCGCGCGATGTACGCTGACGAAGAGAACGAGCCAGCGGTGAGTGTTGAATCATGCTTTTGTACGAGGATACACCAGTATTCGCGTCCTAACAGTCTTCCTTTTATTCGCAGATGTACGACGCTGTAATTGACAAGGTCGAAGAGGGCAACCAATTCTGGGTAAGCATGACCACGGCAAGAGTTTTACGTACCCCTGAAGTTAGCTAACACGGGTATGCCTTGTTGATCAGGTTTCGTTTCCGGCGTATGGAAATACAGAGAAAGTGAGTCTAGGTGACATTGAATTCGACAAGGGCAAACAACGTCGTGGACGGTCGCCGTCGCGCTCTCGATCTGTGGGACGTTCACGCTCACGATCCCGGGGACGTGACAGAGGCAGAGATCGAGACCGTCGCCACGACCGAGACCGGGATAGCCGACGTGACGGAGATCGCCGCCGCAGTCGACGGGACCGCTCTCGATCACGCACGCGTCCTCGCTCGCGGAGCAGATCGCGCTCTGCTTCCCGAGACAGGCGTCGTCGTAACCGCAGCCGCAGTCGTAGTCAAACGCGAAGCAAGACTAGGTAAGTGCTTTCGTGGAGTGCCTACGTCGGTGTGGGTTTCACTCACATAGCTATGTCATGCATGTATCATACAGCGGCGGGGATATCACGGGGGATCTCTTGCAGCAAGTCCGCGAGCGTGAACGGCGTAAGGCTGAGGCAGTGGGGCGTGACTACGCCTCGCGTCCTGTGAGCTACAAGGGATCTCTATCGCTGAAGCTCGACCGCTGGACCACGCGGAAGCGCTCCCGTAGCCCCACGAAACGCGACGAAGTGGTAGTCGTCCAGCCAGGAATGTCGACTGGCGATGAGCGACCTCGCAGCAGATCCCCTTCGCCTGGAAAAGCGCGCGAGGCCGAGGAGCGTCTCAAGAAGCTCCGCGCAATGTACGGCGACGCATCCGCGAAGCCCAAGGAGGAGTAGGCAAGAAGCGAGTACCAGCCATGAAGGAGAGGGAGAAGGAGAGAAAGAAAGAGGGTACGTCGAGAGCGCTGCACCAATAGCCTCCACAGTGCATCAGTGAATACAGATCTGGAAATGCGGCGCTGAATCTGTGTCCGATTGCTTTATTTATCTGCTGGAGCTCAAAGATCATTGCGTCCCGCCATCGGAGACTTTGGTTGACAACAGTGGGACGAGCGCGCAAACAGCACCAGTGCTTGCACGCGTACACCACGAACGGTATCCAAGTCAAGGGGGAGAGCGACGATCATCGATGGCCGAGCAGCAGGCGATCCCGTGGGCTCTGGTGGTCGCGGCCACGACCGCTGCAGTCGCGGTTGCAGCGCTCAACGCGAGTCTTCGAGGCGTGTGTCGGTCTCCGTTGGAAGCGGTGTCTTTGACAGCGAGGATCGCCGCAGCCGTCGCGTGGACTTTCGTCCGCTACGTGGCGCGAGGCTTCCGGCCCGAGTTCCCCAAGTGGACGCTGCGCTTCGAGCTGTTGCGCGCGGCGATTCGGACTGTAAACGAGTTGTACGGCGATCGGATGGTGCAGGACGCTCAACATGCTCGCGTGATCCGAGCTCAGAGCGAAGCTGTGGGCTCGATACTGGGCTGGTTTTACTGTCGATGGTACTGCAAGGGAATGGAGCCCGTGAACTTCAATGGCTTGGAACACCTCTGGCTACGACCGAAAGACCCCAAGAAGACTGAAGCTAAGCGCCTGGTGGTGATGTACGAGCACGGTGGCGCGTTCTCCCTTTTGAGTCCGAGATTCTACAGCTTCTTCTGTGCATCTCTTGCCGCATCAATCGAGAGGGAGCTTGGAAGGCGAGGCAGCAGCGCGCAGGTCGAAATCTTCCTTGCCAACTACCACAAGACGCCGGAATTTTGCTTCCCGACCCAACCGAAGGAGATCATCGCAGCGTACAAGCACCTGCTTGACCACGAAGGCTTAAGCCCCAACCAAATCATCCTCGCGGGCGACAGCGCCGGTGGAGGACTCGTCATGTCGACGCTGCTTCGCTTACGGGACGATAAACCGAACCGTTTGCCGTTGGCTGCTATCGTGTGCAGCCCGTTCGTCGACATGAGCGAAAGCATCGACCCGGCCAGCGCTCGGAGCTGCATCCTTACGCGCAGCATCGCCAAAGCTGCGCGCCTTGTGTATCACCCAACGTGCTCAGATCGTTCGACGTGGGCTGGCGCCTCAGCGGTCCACTGCAACTTGAGCGGCCTCCCACCCGTGTTCATCCAGGCAGCTACGCTCGACTATCTGTACCAAGACTCAGTTCGGCTAGCGGAGAAAGCCAAGGCCGATGGAGTGGAAGATTGGGAACTCGATGTGAACGAGGGGGTTTCTCACGTTTTCTCCTTGTTCCCGTCGTGGGTGTTGCCCTACGGACAGGTCGGCGTGGAAAAGATGGCAGCCTTCGCAGCAAAACAATTCATTAAGAGTTGACTGGATTGAGGAGGTGAGTTATAAGCAGAGCTAAGCACTTAGGCCGCTGCCGATGGAAGTTTGTCGGAGGTTTTGGCGTGGTTCTCCTTGAGTTCGTTCTCAGTCATTGCATCTGCGCTTAGGAACTGTTTGGCTGCGAACTGCGCCATCCGCTGGACGCCTACGCGCGCGTAGGGCAGGATGTAGCCTGGGAAGACCATGAAGACGTGCGTCACTCCGTCGTGGATGTCGACTTCCCAGTTCGTGACGCCGTCAGCTTCGGCTTTCGCGGCAAGACGCTCCGAGCGTCCGAACAAATAGTCCAAGCTGGCTGCCTGCAGGAGGACGGGTGGGAGGCCGCGAAGGTTGCAGTGCACTGGTGACGCATCCGCCCACGTGCTGGGGTCTTCGCGTGTCGGATGGTATGCCTCAACGCTGGCTGCGATGATGCTGGGGGAGAGCACGCAGTGCTGACCCTTAACTCGATCTTCATCCTCCGTCAGATCAGCAAGCGGACAGGCGACAACAGCAGCAAGAGGCAGCGGTAGCTTCGACTTCCAGCTCGACTTGCCATCGCGAACTCGTAGCAGTGTGGAGAGCACGAGGCCTCCCCGGCACTGTCTCCAACCAGGATGATCTGGGACGACTCCAGCTTCTCGTGCTGCAGCAAGTACTCGTACATGGCGACGGCGTCCTCTGCTGGCACTGGGAACCGATGCTCCGGGGCCTTGCGGTAGTTTGCGAGGAAGATCTCGACGTCATAGTCCCCTTCAGGCATCTGTGACTGAAGTTCCCGCTTAATGGCTACCAGTAAGTTGCTGCAGAACGGGACGTACATCCTCGGACTGAGCACCGCGTAGCCCCCTCCGTGGTAGAAGAGCACCACGAAGCGCTTCCGACTTGGAGACTCAGCTGTCGACGGTGGCGCCTTCAGCCAGAGATGCTCGAGGCCGTTGATCACGACCGGCTCGAGCCTCAATCCATGATGCTGGCGTGAAAACCAGCCGAGAAGAGACCCGAACAATTCGCTGTGCCAGCGGAAAACTGGCGGTTGTTGGTCGTCGACGATGCGCTCGCCGAACATGTCCGCCGCCGTACACATGGCCCCCCGCACCAGCTCAAACCTCAGCGACCACTTTGGGAATTTCGGCTTGAAACCTCGAGCGACGTACTGTGCCAATACACTGGACAGCGTCCAACAGGTTCGAGCGAGCAGTTTGGCAGTCTCCATTGGTGTCCGGCAGAAGCAGCGAGAAGCCTCGAGCAGTAGAACAATCCCAACGATGCCACTTGCTCCACAGGCAAACCACGGAAGATACTTGCGACGCCGGTCTGGATCTGCTCGTGACCACAAGAGCGCGCCAAACAGCAGAGCTTGTAGCAACCGGCGCTGACACTTCTGGAGCTTCGTCAACAACGTGGAACTTGTCGCCATGGTCCAACCAGCTTGAGGTTGTCGGAAGGATATTGAATTGTGGGGGCTAGCTCATGATGGTGTCCGTCCACTGCAAGATCCGAAGGTCACGGTCTATCCGTTCGTCGAGTGTCGGCAACGTTGAAGCTGTTCGCGAAGATCCACCAAGCAGAGATCTGAACAATCAAACGTTTGTTTACTACATGGATTCGTTAATGGATCTAGCACTACGTCACCTACAGGCATCGTGCTTGGTTGGCTTCACGTCATCACCCCATTGAAAGAGGTCGAAGATGATTGTAATGCCTCGTCCTTCACAGCAACAGACAACCCAGTACTCCAGTAAGGAAGATTGCCTTGGTCGACGAATTGAGAAATGACCACGTACATGAAGAAAAACGTGCGTTCGTGCGCGGTATTGAGCGGGCCGTGAGGTAAGAGTGCCTATCGTACGGTGAAGCACAGATCTCAAGATGAGATGTTTTCACGGATTGCGTGGTGCGACCCAGCTCTGCGTGCTTGCAGTAGAGTTCCTGCTGGCGCTTCTTCAGTGAAGAATCTTCACCAGTCGGTTCAATTCCAGAAGCGCTCAAGCAGAGGTCTCCGATTCTTTAAATTTGTTGCGATACAACCAGCTAAAATGCAGTTAGGTGTTCCTGGCACTACAAAATCCGGCACCACATTTGTTGAAAGCTATCGCAAATGTACTGTACGATTAATGGAGAAAAGGCATGGGTAGCAGTCTTATAGCTATTGATGAATGGTAAGAAATAATATCAATTCCACTTCACAAAAATTAAAAAAAAACTTGAATTGCTATAAGCCAACGATAATTTGCCTTTACTTGAAATATACTACTGTAGTAGGAAGTAGTTGTTATTTCGTTCGTGATACGTACATGTATACTGGAACAAAGGTTTCATTTGCGAAGCCCCGTCGAACGCTTAAAGTCGTTGAGATACGACAACAACAGCTTCGTGTATCCTGGGCTCTTGTCCAGCTTGAGCCACGCTCTAATCTGGCCGACAGAATACTTGCCGTCCCAGACCTGAAACATGTTGTTCTTGAGTGTCTTGCTCCTCAGCATGAGCTTCAGTTTGTCGACGGCGAAGTCGTCTGGGATCTTCGCTTTCTTGGCGCCGAAGATGCTCTTGAAGCTAAACGCTCTTTCGTCATTTTCAGTGGCAGCTGCAAAATCTCCCGTATGTTGGCGGCTTCGCAGAGATCGGAGGGTGTCGATCTTCGAGGCATCACACAGGGCCAGAATTGTCGCCAGAATTGCGAAGAAGACGTAGATCGCACGCATGATTCCTGGGTGGGAGCTGAATTGGAGGTGCAGCCTTGAGTGGTGTAAGGGAGGTTTTAAAGTGAGACACGAGGTTGGGTGGTCGACTGGAGTCTTCAGTGGAATCCGGCGATCTTACTAAACATTTCGAAGTACTTCCATTGTTGGCTTAGGAAGCCTGGGTTTGGACAGAAGATGACTCAAGATGTGTACATGTAGTGCATTAAAGGGTCAACGAGTTGTTGTAAGCTTTCTGTGTTGCTCCACCGCAGATCTCGATCATGTCCTACGTTGCCACGTGCAACAACACTCATCTGAAAAAGCGAAGTCAGAACAAAAGATCAGGCTTGCCACGGTATCAGCTGGTACAATCGACCCATTGCTGGGTTTGTCTCGAGTATGGATGATTACGATCAAAGTACACAAATACCGCCCCACGCATCAACAATGATGCTCAAAAAGTAACCGAGACCCGTTGGTAAAGTTACATTGGGTGGCAACGACTGCGTTTTCCTTGCCTAATTTCTGCAGTGGTCTAGTTGCAGCAGTTAGGTCTTCGGTTTTAGTCAATCGTTGGTATTGCTGCTACTGAAGTTTTTATTTTACCTAGGAGGTTTTAAGAAATGTTTGTACTTCGTAGAAGTAGTATGATAATATCATAGTACATGTATGGACGCTGCAAAGAGAAACGGAATATTGACGCCACTTCCTGCTCGCAAAACCAAAAGTAGTGGGTACACCATTTATTCTTGTTTGGACCGTCAATAAACGGATATCTTCGACACACTTATTTTTTTTCTTTTATATAGTTTTCTGATACATTTTGAACCAAAGTCGACTTCTCGATCAGAAAGTAATACAAACGGCAATAAGAATAATATTTCCATAAAACTAACTGAAAACGATTCAGATTTCACGCAAATTCTGCTGGCATTTTTTTTACTAAAATGCCGTGTTGTGCAGCGATTCTTACTGTAACAATTTCGAGTCAGAAAAGCGCGACACCTCCTTATCCTCATTGGAGTTTTGACCGAGCGGATGCAGGGCCCAGTTCCGCTTCAACGGGAGCAGATTTGACACGACGTTAGCTAACTCTCCTTGCAGCATTTTCGGTGTTTTCCTTTTCTTAAAAAAAATAGAATCAACAACAGTCCGTAGAAAATCGTGAAGTCAAACTTCCTAAGGAGGCATTACAAGCCCATGAAAATGATCATATTTCTGCATAATACATTTTATTGTCAAGAAGGCATGAACTTCATTTTTTTTAAAGAAGACCTCACACCAACTCCTTTTTGCAGATTTTTTTTTGGTATGTACATGTTTGGTACCCATCGTCAAGTCATCTTCAGTTCTCGTCAATTGACCCGACATCAGAGTTTTTGCCGCTGCTGTACGTTCACCTTTTAATTTTTCTTACGCCGCGGTAAGACGGAGTCTTCGGAACGACACTTCTAAAATGTAGAACCTATATGTATGTTGTAATTTTTCACTTTTGAATAAATATGGTCATGTTAAAATTCCATAACTTAGTTGAAGAATTTGGTTTTCTCAAAGCGGCAGTATTACAGAATTGGATCTATCTACTGTATCTTGAGCAACACAATCGTAACTGGCTTTACGTATTACTTCGAAGTATTAGATGAGACTTTGTTTCCCACCGCATTTTGAAGTACGTACCGTACTGTGTACTGTATGTATTTTAATAGGAATAGCGCAAAAATGATAACTAATTCGTGGCCTAGGATTGTGATGCTCTAAGTCTGTCATCGTCTGCCATTACCACGAGGTGCAAGTCCTCCAGACAATCTGGTCGTGCAGCACCAAGAAGGTCTCGAGTCGCGCTAGACCAGTCGCCCGCGCAGGAAACGCAGCAAACTGACTCGGATTCAAATCGCAAGAGACGCCTGCTATCACTTCGAAATCACATGATCCGATTTGAAATGTTTGCGCCGGCACCTCACTCACTCACTTTGCATTTCTCCTCCCAAAGTTTGGGCAAGCCTCGATCGCTGCAATGGTGCTATACAAGTATGCGTCTGAGTCTCGTACTGCTGGCGGTTGCCGTCTCCTTTCAAGCTGCAACGCCTTCGATCTGAACAACGGCAACAGGCTCCTGCGCACTTAAGAGACCAGCAACACTGCAACCGCCAGTGGAGCTAACGACGAAGAGAGGGCGTGGGGCCTGAAGACCCTCTTCCAGAGCCTCGCCAAGCTGAACAAGAGCAACGTTGCCAAGGTGAACGACTTCGCCAAGGCGGACCTCGACCGCATGTTGACAGACGTCGCGTTCAAGCGCGAGATGTTCGAGAGGTGGAACCAGTACAGCACCGAGAAGATCCTCGCGGCGCTGGACCTGAGCAAGAGGAGAAACATTCGGTACGGAGCCATGCTGCAGGAGTTCTTGAACACGTACAGACTAAGGGAGGGGGCAACCGCTCTTCGCAACGTTAACTAAAACAATACTACTACCCGTAAGGCGAGACGTTAGTGATAATTAGGTGCTGTATTCCTTCTGTTGCAGCGGGTGCTTCTGGTGCTTACATAAAATAATAGCGGGCTCAGAGACACGGCTTCGTTTGCCGCTCGCTATTCTCCTCGGTGCTCGGAAGTCGGCGTCTGGGGTTGCAATCACCCCCAACGCCTCGCTCTTCCGGCCGCGGGAACGTTCGTAGGTACGGCAGACCCGAAATCTATGCTGGGCTGCCGTCAAGGGGGTACTAGGACTGGGAACTAACTCACTCATAACTCGACGCTTTGCATGTGGCGGAAGTCCTTGGCGTACTGCGGCTGGTGTGCGGACATCGACGTGTTGGGCGCGGAGGACTGGGGCTTGTGCATGGACGACGACAAGCTGGACGTGGACTGCTCCTTGATCTTTTGCTCGTTCTGCTGCATCTGCAGGCCGGTGGTGTACGACTGCGACAGCAGATCCACGAGTTGGTCGTGGAGCTGGCCGGTCTGGGAGCTGGCGAGCTGTGCGCGCTCCTGGGTGCGCGTCCACAGGTCCTCGAGCAAGGCGCTGACCTGCTCGGCCAGGTCCTTGAGCTGGGAGCGCTGTCGTGCGGGCACCGAGCTGCGCGGCTTCGAGTCCGCGACAATGAGAGCGCCCAGCACGATGCCATCGCGCGCGCGGAACGGCACGGCCATAATGAAGCGCACGTTGGGCGCCTCCGTCACGAATAAATTAGTGGCCAACATGTCGTCTTGAAGCGCGTTCATCACCGTCACCACCTCGCCATCGTCTTCATCGTCATCACTGACATCCAGAGGCTTTCGAGCGGGGAAGCGCCGCATGATCTCCGCTGTGAGCGAGTGCGAAATGGGGATCTCGCTCATGTCACGCGTAGCAGCCACTCCGAAGCTCGACTTGATGAATTCGCGCCGCGCGTCCACGAAACTTATGGTGGCCACCGAGCAGCTCGTGTGTTGGGCCGCCTGCTTGGCCACCAGGTCGTAAATGTGCTCCTTGGCCGAGTCCATAATGCCGTACTCGGCGAGTCGGACAGCTCGCTCCTCGTCCAGAGACGTGCCCACACGAGACCTAGCCAGCACCATGTCCGTGTGGATCTCCTCCACGACTTCCTCGTCGAAGTCTTCGTCGCCCTCCTCCAGCTCGTCGAGACCCTGGTAGTCCTGCAAGTTCAGATCCTGCAGCTTGAAGTCGAGACCGACGTTCGAGTCGTGGAACTCCATGCCGTCATCCTCGTCGGCCTCGTCCAGCTCACGCAGGTCAAAGTCGCAGATGTCCTCTTCATCCTCTTCTCCGTCTTCATCCTCCTCTTCACCGATGCCGCCAAGGTCCTCGCGGTCGGAGTCGGCGTCGGCTTCCGAGTCGTGGAAGTCGAAGGTTGTGAAGCGACCTCCAGCTGCAGGCAGGCCACCCTTCAGCGACAGGTCGAACTCTGAGTCGTGGAAGTCCATGAGCGACAGCTCCGAGAACCGCTTGTAGAACTGGTCGCTTTGCATCACGACGCTGCTAGGAGAAGAAGGCGACGACGAGCACACGGAATCCACTTCGGTCGCCTCAATTGAGTCAATGTCGACGGCGAGTGCAGGCTCCTGGTCGGCTTCGGGCTCCTTCTCCACCTCACGAGGCATCTCTCGAACGGCCTCCACTACCTTCTCGGAATCCCTGTCCTCGAGGCCTTCAACATCGTTGCCCTCCACATCATTTTCACTCTCATAGTCGAAGCGGCTGCCGCGGGAGCTGCTCATGGTTGTGGCGTTGCTCGCGTTGCTCTGCTTGTAGAAGCTGCCGCCCAAGCTGCTGCCACTGATGCTCAGCGTCTTGGAGCTGCCGCTCTTGCCGAACGCTCCCAGGCCGCGACTGCTGTTGAAGCTGCTCACCGTGCTGCCAGACATGCTCGACAGCGTCCGGTCTCCTCCACCTGTTGACGCATGGGACGACAGCAGCCCCCGCGAGTCGTAAAAGTCCGAGCTGTCACCGCTGCTCGAGTTCGTCGAAGGTGGTCGGTTGTACTCGTCGTCCTCCTCTGGGCCGCGCGCTGGCGCGTGGCCACTGCCCAGTCGCCGTCTGAGCGCATTGATCCCGCCCACGGGGGTCTTCGGTGGCTGCACTGCTCCCTGACCCTGGGTCACGCGCCCCCTGCTGAGCCTCTGGTTGTCATCCACTCCGTGCTGACAGTTGACGCAGATGCGGAACGGACACTTGCCGGCCTTGCCCAGCTTGATCTGGTGGATCTCCGAGCACTTGGAGCACGCGACGTCGCCACATAGGCGGCAGTGGTGCTTCCGTCTCGACATGGTGAACTTGCCCTGGCACACGCAGCAGCTCTTCCGGGACTTGACCCAGTTCTCGGACGTCAGGTAGGGCGACTCGCGTAGCCGCATGACCAGCAGCGCCGTGTCCAGCTGCTGGAAGGCGGTGAGGTAGGCCAGCATGTTCTGCCGTCGCGCGGATGTGACGCCGTTGGCGTCGTAGCAGCTAAACTTGATGAGCATTTCCAACACGTTGTCGCCCGCCACGGACGACGCCACAGGGTACACGACAATACCCGAGAACTGCACGAGCGCGCGCGCCGTGAGCGCGAAGTTGGCCTGCTGAGAAGACGACGACTTGGACGCGCCAGCGGACGACGTCACGATGGGCTTGCAGTATCTCGTGACCGCCGGGTCCTCGATCGAGTGGTGCGAGATGATGCCGACGCGCTGGTCCTCGAAGTCCTGCGCCTGGTTGTGCGCCATGGGGCCGCGGATGTGCGCGCGTCGGATGGTGGCGTACTCAGCCAGGCAGAGCGTGAGCCCCTCCTCCTGCGCGCTCTCGGCACCGTTACGGCCCTTGCTGCTCTGCAGTCGCGCGGCCTGACGCTCGCGGTGGCGGTTCTTGCCGCCGAACTTGAGCGCGTTGGCGGACGCGCCACCGTTGAGCGACGCGCCCGAGTTGGTGCGCGCCGTGCGGCCCTTGATGGACACGTACTTGACCGCGTACTGCTCCGTCTCGGCGCCGCTCTGCGACGAGCGCGAGCTGGAGCTCACGGACGACGACGTGGACGAGCTGCGGCCCACGCGGCCGCTCGGCAGGCTGCCGAAGCTCGTGAACACGTCAGCCAGCTGCACGCGCTCCTCGAACAGCGCCGCCTGCACGTTCTGGAACGTGTCGCGCTTGGGGGACGCCAGCAGCCGCATGAAGTCGTCGAGCGACGCGCGCACGCGCGTGGTGGCCAGCATCGTGTGCATGTTGTGCGGCAGCTGCGCCGGGTCGGCGGGCGTCATGCTGGACACGCGCTCCACGGCGTCCGCGCGCAGCTCGTACACGCGGAGCTGGCCGCGCGCCGTGACGAACTGCCACTTGTCGGCGTCCGCCACGGCGTCCACCAGCAGCGCGGCGGCGTTGGCGCGCGCGTCCAGCAGCAGCGCGTCCTGCTGCACGTCGCTGAAGTGCAGGTACGCGTCGGGCGTGACGCTGTCCGTGGTGTTGGTCGTGGCGGCGCTGGCCGCGCTGAAGTTGGAGCGCCCGCTGCTGGCGGCCCAGTGCTGCATGCCGCCGTCCTGCTGGGCCGCCGCGACCGGCGTCTGCACGGCGGAGGACACGGCGGACGGTGTGTCGCTCGGGCGCGACGTGGTGGACGACGCCTTGTGCTGCCGGTGCCGCGGCCGGTATAACGAGCCGTAGTTCACCATGGGCGGATCCACTCAGTGGACGCAATAGAAACCTGTCAAAAGTCGCCCTGATCTGCCTTGGCTTGTGTTGCTGCGGCGAGCCCTCGGTCAGGCGCTGCCTCCTTCCTGCGCGCACGCGTACTCTCCTCGGGGGCGGAAAGTGGGGGGACCTCGACCGCGCGCGCTGTTGCTAGTGCTGCTGCGCTCGCGCTCGAGTCGGACTGTGAGTGCCAGCGCGACGGCGACAAGGGGAGGGGCCCTTTGTTGCATTGTCGGCGGGAAAGGCTGGCCAGCGGTGATAGAGCCCCGCGTTAGCAACGGGCCAAATCGGTCCCATTTTTCGTCGGAAATGGAACAGTAAACTTACTGTATCTAACGTTACAAGTCCTGCAATCAAGATCGGAACCAGCATCGAGACGACGATTAACCGCAGCTTCATAACTTTGCCATGTTCAGCGCCATTTATAAAAGCTGTCCAGGTTGGTGTCGTCTTCTTTATGCTGGATCTCGCTGATTTTTAAAAAAATATATTGACATTGACTTCAGAATTGAGCTCGAAATGAGCAACTACATTGGTAACTTCGGTTTGGTAAACAACAAAACGGTTTGTTCTGTTATTTCGGCGGCGGGGCCTAAGACAAAGACGCCAGCTCGTTGCGGTACTCTCACACTTCCGTATCTCGTCCTTCGAGACGGACGGGGCTCATATAATTCAAGACTAATATCATTCGAACTTGTTGCCTGCTGGACATTTCGGGGTGCCAGCGAGCCAGCCCTCTGGCCATACCAGGAGCGCATTTTTCCTCTCAAAGCGTAGAATGTCTTTGGTAGCGCGTAAGGCGGCTTCACATCTTGTAGAGCGGCGTTGGCAGCGACCTGAGCAACAGCACGTTGCCTCGAAATTTGGGCCCATTTTGGGGGTGATTGCTTACTGACGAGATACCCAAAAACGGCGAGAGCTGTGCAAAATAGTTACAATGGGGCGAGGCGCTGTCTTATGTTTGCGGGTAAGTTATGGCTCTGACGGCGCTGATTCAGCGCTTCAGCGCTGAATCGCTTCAGCGGCTGAAGGGCAGTGGCTGAGCCACTGGCTCGGCCTTCCCAAGGCGACGACTTTCGCTCTTTCTTCTCTTGGTCGTGACTCGCGACGCGCGTGGCCTCGCAAGGCTTACGGAGATGCATCGAGAGGCCCTACGACGGGACTCCGCATTGAAGAGCCCCTCGCCATGGATAGCCGCGGGGCTCCGTATTCACAAGTTGTCGTGCATGCACACCATCGGACGGCGCCGCCTTCCTATTTACCCTCCTAGCGAAAGGCTTTCCCCATGGGAAGAGCACGGGGCTATCGTTGCGCGGTGTTCGCGACCGCAATAACGAGTATTGACACCAACAGATCATCAAGGTCGCAGCGGTGGCAAGCTGAAGTCAACGGCGGCGTTGAAGTGTGCCTTGCCTCTCTCCACCGGAAGACCGCGGTCGGTCCCACCACGTGCAGATGAGACTTGCGCAATGCAGACGAGAACGGGACTCGCGATGGGCCGAGCGAGGGCGGACCACCCGCACGATTGTTGTGTCAAGGCGTCGTCGCGCTGCTTTGGACCAAACTTTGGTCGCTTTGGTCGGGCGTTCGCAAGCATGCACGCAAGGTCGATCATCTGCAGAATCCACTGCACCAAAATTCTCCTAGCTCCTCAGCTCACAACGAAGACGCCTTGCCGTTATCGCCCGCAGCAGCCTGGATTGAGATGCAGCTCGGGATCACTACGAGCTCCGACCGGCAAATCCCAGGCAAGCTCGGCCCACTTTCGAGGCAACTTTGCCGACAGCATCAGCTCAACAGCCCAACAGTCTGTTGCTGGCAACACAGCAACGACGACAACACTCGCAGCGTGACTCGCTCCCAGACCGGAGACCCACCCGAGCTTCGAACGCATTGCAATCGAACGCGCACCATCTCAATGCGCGACGAGAGACGGGGAGGACGGAGGTTGCTCGAAGAACGCTATTAATACACGCAGCTCGGGCGACCTTCCGACGACACAAAACAAGTTGAAGTTGACTTCAACTTGGTACATGTACATGTAAGCGAGGAGGTCCTATGCGCGGGAGGGCTCGCGATGTCCCATTTCGGCGTGGCACTGAAAGCTGAAGGCCCCGCTTGAGGCTCGTCTGCATGTTTCGTCACTTTTGACCCGCCTGCTATCGCCCTGGCACCGCCGAGTTCCACCTGGGTCGTATTCTTGGGGGCAAATCCGTTGGCATTGAGTTTGTTGAGTATTTGAGCCGATCAACTCTATTCTAAGACAAGACGGTGGCTGCGAACGAAAAATGCGGACAGGACTCGTGCTCGGACTGGACGGCGCGGGCAAGACGCTGCTGCTGCGGCAGCTCACGGCGCAGGTCGTGCGCAAGCAGAAGACGGTGCTGGAGCGCCTCGTGGCCTTCGCAACGCACCCCTGCGGCGGAGGCAGCAGCAACAACGACGATGACGGGAGTTTCGGCGCCAAGGACGGAGACTACGCCGTCGACGCCAACACGCAGCCGAGCGTGGGGGTCGAGCACTGGACGCTGCCGCTTGATGGAGGGAGGACCTGCACGCTGCGCGAAGTGGGCGGCCAGCTGCTGCCCATGTGGCCGTCCTACTTCGAGTCCTGCCACTTCTGGTTTTTCCTGATCGACGCTAGCAACCCCACGCAGCTAGCTGCCGCTGCGGTCGAGTTCTTCTCTGTGCTTAGTGTGGAGGAAATGCGGCGCAAGCCCAAACTGCTGCTGGTCAACCAAATTGACGCTGGGTTTGTAGTAGACGACAACATTCTGCGCACGTATTTGTGCTTAGATCGTCTTATGGTCGAGCCTGACTGCGGCCCCGTGCAGATCCTCAAGACCAGCGCGTTGACGGGGGAGAACGTGGAGCAGGTCCTTAAATGGCTCAGCCAGACCGTCGGCACTAGCGTCTTCTCCGGCAACAATACGGGTATCGCGCTCACAGGACTCAGCGGTCGCTATCGCACGGGAGGTAGACAGAACTCGGGCAGCGATATACGCGTGCATCCCGTAGCAGACTAGGATAGGTCGACAGTTGAACAAGAGAGCACATTCGATTTGTTGTTGGCTGTTGGCTGTTGCCTAGTTCCTCTCGCCTTCGTGGCAGTAGGGGTATTCGTCGGCGAGCGTGGCGTTCGCAGCCATGTTAGTTTCGGCGGCCTGGAACAAGCGGAAGTGCTCCAGATCGCGACTGATGTTGCCCATAGCGATGGCCGCACAGTAAATGCCTAGCACCAGGCTGCTGACGATGGTCAAGTGGCACACGAAGCGGTCGCACTTGCCTCTGAAGGTGTTCGTGGCGATCGGGTGCACGCGCAGGTAGCACAGGCACGGCATGATCATGCATGAGACCGTCACCGTTGTGGCCCCAATGAAACTCAAGATATCCATGAAAGACGCTTGAAACATGATCGCTAGGAAGGCCTGCAGCCACACCGTGATCGTACGGATCAAGCCGCTGCAGAGGCGATCAGAGGCGGTGTACGCCTCGCTTATGTGCCCATGGTCACCATTATCACTCGGAGGCGGCGACGTCGCTTGGAAGTACGGAGTATTGCCGCCATACAGGAACCCTTCTTCTTCCTCGATGGTAGGAATGGTGGGGACTTTAGGCGAGCCAAGTGCGCCGACGGCGCCAGTGTTAGCGAGAATCGGTTTGCTTGGTCCGGATCCAGCGGCAGCTTTAGCAGCTCGAAGACTCAGCGTCTTCTGGAGGACCTCGTGGTCGGCGTCCTTCCCAAGGATGTAGCGCTCCATGTCGTAGAGCGTGGGGTTCAACAGCAGGGGGAACGCGATCGTGACGTGAAGCAGCATCAGCGCTGAAGCAAGTTTACGCGCCGAGCTGTCTTCCGGTAGTTGATCCAGCAGCGTAGCCGGTGCCGTGCAGCCGAACTGGTAGTACGTCACGACACCGATGAGCATGTAAATGGACGTGATGAAGAGGAGCGTCAGCGAGACCAAGTTCGCTAGCCGGGCCGGGTCCGTGTGCTGCCGTTGGATGGGCGGGATGATAATGGCCGTGCCCGTGGCGAACATGATGGTGCCGAAAGTCTGCACGGCGTTATCTGTCTGGATCTGCGTCTCCCGCGGCGAAGGCGGGATGTTCTGGAGGCTGTAGCCGACGCAGATCGCGTCAGCGAGCACTGCCGCTATTCCACCCATGTATGCCAGCGGCGCGGCGGCTTTCAGCGTCGGAATCAGGATCACAGGCAGCACACCAAGACTCATGAAGATGATCCAGTGCGTGGGGCTCCACTCCTCCCCTGCAACGGTGCCTTCAAACAGGCAAGGCAGGAGGACGGTGCCACCTAGAATGAGGAACGCGATGGGGCTCAGGAAGCACGCCCCCCACTCGGACAGCAGCACCACGCGGCGTCCGGTCTCCCCGAAGGCGAAGAAGCCGAGATCACTGAAGGTCCGCACGTTCACTGGGGCGACCATGAGCGACTTGCTCACAGCGACACTGCATCAGTCACACACACAGCAGCGGCAGTGGGATTAGATGTATGTCTGGGTATAGTATCGTTACATATCTGGTTTTGGGGAGCGTGTCATTTTGCGAACCTTGCGTGGAGATTGCAGGATGATATGAAGTAGACGGCCATGGCGGCCAGGACGGGCCCCGCGGCCGCGAAGATGGAGCCGAAGCTCATGGAGCCCACGCCGAAGGTGGCGCAGAACAGCAGCGCCACGCACAGCACGTCGTCGCTGCCCGACATCGCCGAGGTATGAGCGGCTCCGATGACAATGAGATCATGATCACGACCTTTCGGCATGTTGACACGAGTGTGTGTGCCACACTATTTCCGTACCGTAGGATTTCACTTGAGCGTTTGACGACGAGTGTCGGCCTCGAGTCGAGGTCCTGGACTCGGTATCGGACATCTAGGTCTCGTCGTGGTGGCTCGCGACCGCCATGCTTTCTTAACAGCTCGTCACTAGAATAGCCACAGTTGGCTGTTGCGGTGGTATGGCGTACAGCTAGGCGAGATCTCCGCTTGAGCTGTAAACTTGGCGTTTGCAGCGTCGGGTTGTGCAGGAGTTGAGGCCAGTTGGCCGACAAGAATGATTGGTAGGATTGCAGCCCCATGCCCGTCATCGCCTGGCTGCGGGAAACTGTCTACAGTATTATTAGTACAGCATGGGCCATAGCAGACCCGCGCGGTATCTGCGGAGGCGGGCCTCCCGCTCGGCGCTGGGCCCGCCCAGCGCCGAGCATTCCAGCGAGCCGAGCACTGTACTCGCCAGGTGAGAGAATCTTTTTATCGCAGGAGCGCAGCGACTGCCTTTGCGCAGCGCAGCGAAGCAAAGCCCATGATCCTTTACAAAAATCAAGATATCGGTTTTCGCTGTGCTGTACAAATAGCCTCCTGTGCCTGGCTGCGGAGGCACCATGCCACGATAAGAATTGCTACGTGTATGATAAGTACGCTTGACTCATTCAAACCGAGTGCTGTTGTCGTGGCTTCCCAAGCCAAAACCTAAGTGGTCACCGACACCATCGAGTCAATGCCATCGACTGGGCCGTGGCTGCCGTGATGTCGCTCTTCACATCGTGCGATACGGTGCGCACGCCACGACTCGAAGGTCCACGAACGACCAAGAAGACGTCTGGCTTCAACTTGGTCGGATCTGGGCCCTCCTTTCGTCATGTGCTGCTTGCCGCTTGATGTATCACGGCTCTACCTGGGCTCAAGCACGCATGCGCTTTCGCGGAGGGCTTAGGCGACAAGGTGTTTGCTGCGAGCTCACCAGCTCGAATACGATAGTAACGGGCACGTCGCAGCCGTGTCCTCCGTTGCTGAGCCGAGGACATCTTATCAGCAAATTCCAGAATGCTGGATGGCGGGGAAATGACAGAATCGGGCGAAAACTACCAAATTCTGCGCAAACTGACAATTTCTGGCACTCGGTGCAATAACAGCTCGCCCACGGTACTGTGTGGGACGTACATGCAGCGGCAAAGAAGCTTGCCATCTAAAAGAAGCGATGAGGTTCACCGTTGTGAAGGAGCGCCCTCGCCCGATTACGGCAGGGAGAGTTTCATTAGCAGTAGGTCATCATGCAGGACACAGTGGAGATGTCAGGGCGGGATGGCTTCGAGGAGTTAGGCATTGGTTAGATGTAGGCAACGAGGTTACTCTGCTGGAGTCTTAAGGGCGTTGCTAAGAATATGCTTCGTACACTCTTCCGGCTTAATTTCATCACAAACCCCAATACTTCTCCTCGTGAGAGGACAAGTTGAGGCGCATCACTACTGTTCACGTACAATACGGTAACTAACTCGTCATGTATGTATATTCTCTCTCACGCAAGCCTACTTCTTGCGCTTCTACATGGCCGTCATCTAGGCCAGATAATCCAATGTGTTGCGCCAGATCCTTCTTGACGGGCACGATCACCATGGCGCACGACGTACTCCTCCACCGCGTGCTCCTCCGCCATCATCACATGCGCGAGATGCTCGTCACCGAGACATCTCCTCATGGACATCTCCACCCTTAAGTCTCCGACCCGACGTCGATCTCCCCCATGATGCCGGTCTCCTCTATGATGCCTGTCTCCATCACGCACCTCCCTCAAGGGTATCCTCCACGACGGCGGTCGCTGCGACGTTGATCGTCTCAGTCACATCGGTCTTCTCCATGACCTCGGCTTTCGCGCGGGAAGGATTCACGGCGGTTGTGTCGCCTCACCTACACGTGCCTTGCATGATAGCCTCCTTCACGGCGCCACCACGACGATAACCCGCATGCCATCCTTACCGCACCAACGAGGTCAGGCCCTACTCCACTGTGAGCCTCTTTACGTTGGCGAGCTGCTACTTTTTGGCGGGCTTCTTCACGTTTGCGAGCTGCTCCACGCAGACAGGCTTCTTCGCGGCAGCAGCTTCTGCTCAGCGGCGTGCTACACAATTGCTCTACCTTCTCCGCAACACCGTGGGTAATTGCTCTAGCTTCTCCGCAACACCGTGAGTGAGCTCAGAAATTGTCAAAAATTAATAGGAGTGCCAGATTTTGTCATTTTGCGCAGAATTTAATAATTTTCTTGAAATAGTGCCCGATTCTGTCATTTTCCCGCTGAATGGCTCTGCAAATGCAGGGTCTTTTCCTATGCTGCAAGCAGACTCTCGTTCTTTTCAGAGGGACCTCGACTCAAATTGAAGCGATGGCAGCTTCGGAAAGCCCGCACACTGCGGCAAAAGAGCCCACCCACTGGCAGCAGACAGCCTCATCATCAACACCACGACATTCCCACCGCCAGTGTATGCAAGTTCGCCATCAGCACGCTGGTTATCAGGCGGACAAGATCCGTCGTGCGCTTCCAGTGACTGCGAGCCAGCGGCTGGTGAGCTCCATGCCACTGTCAATGGGCGCCTACCAAAACCTAGATAAAAAAGTTTAATCAAAAAATTCTGATCACCCGACTAGGCGCATTACTCGCCGGACCAAACGTCTGCAAATCGAAGGTGATAAACACCTAGGCCAAAACCACCATTAAAAGTTATCTGTATCCGGCGACCTTTGCCGCTTGAAGTATGAATACCTTAATCTCATTATGTAGGTCGAAAGGAGACAATCCGAAGATGGACAAATTTTCACAAAATATCTCTAATTGTAAAGATCTCGCTCGGCGGGAAACGTCGCGTCGACCCTCTCCGAGCAACCGAGTCATTTGCCCCCCTCGCATTCTCTCTCGCTTCTTCCAGCACAATGTCTCGCCCGGATACGAGCTTTCTGCTGATGCTCTGTGCGTCGTCCCAGACGCGTCGTCGCTCCCTCGAGACGCTCCGAGACTTGAGACGCCGGCTGCACGACGAGCGCAGGCGCTGGGAGTGGCAGCGGCTCACCCGAATGCGCCATTACATCACCCTGGACTGCCTAAAGGAGCCTGAGCAGTCTTCTTGGATGGACACCTGGCTCAAAGGAACCGACGAGAATATGATAAATGTGACGAGCCTGTCTCGGTAAGGGTGGCATGCAGCATTTAAGTGTGTAGTTGGTTTCTAACTGTTGTTTGCCGCTATTGCTTGACATGTAGGGCCTCGTTCAACCTTTTACTATCTCGCTTTGCGCCTCATTACGAGATTCCCATCTTCTACTCGAAAGGGGGGCGGCCTCGAAAGCTCCAACACCACCATCAGGTGTTGGGCTTGCTTTTAGCTTTCTACGTAGGCTGTGAGTATCGAGGGCGCCTGTGGCTCATGTTTGGCGTCCCCCCGACGACGCTTACCCGCGTGCTAACTGCAGCTGAAGACGCTCTTACAGCGGTGCTCCGAGGGTTTGCGCCCGCTCGGATTGTATGGCCTACGTTCGCCAGGCAGAAAGCTTTAGCTCGTCTAGTGGCAGCAAAGCAACCCATGCTGCAGTTCACATGGGGCTTTTTGGATGGGAAAAACTACAAGGTACTTTCGTCAAGATGTGATTGTATTGTATCATTATTCGTGATCTTACCATCTACGTATCATACTTCTACTTCACAGGTGCAGCAGCCTCAAGATAGAGACATCCAGAATGCTCAGTACAACGGTTGGCTACATGGCGTGTTCGTCACCGGCACGCTATGCTTCTCAGCGGACGGGCTCATCGTGTGGGCTAAACATAACTGTCCAGGGTCCTGGAACGATGGCGATACCAGCCTAGAGTTCAGGCGGAAGCTGGTGTCGGCGGAACTAAATCCTGACGATCGATATGGGGTTGTAGCAGACAGTGCTTTCCCTTGCAGTGGTGACATGATCGGCAGGATCATGACCCCGCTGAAAGACGGAGATGCAAGTAGACTGGTGCCTTCTGTTCGGGCGGCGGCGAAGGCTTTATCAGGGGCAATAACGTCGATTAGACAGAGTGCTGAGTGGGGTATGGGGTCTATCGAGAAGGTCTACCATCGGCTGCTGATGCCGTTGCCGTACGACCGCAGCAAACGGCAGCAGCGTTTGGACAACATTTTCAGGCTTACTAACTACAGAGTGAGAGCCGTCAGCATTAGTGAGATACGAACCACATTCATTCATGGCGAGGACGATAGGAGATACACAAGAGTGAGTTGAGTTTGTTCATGTGCATAATGCAACTTGAATACACTACGTCTTCCTTCCTGCACACACATATTGCTGTATACTACTTGTTCTTGTGAATCGTCGAGATCAGTAGCATCATTTGCTCGTGGCGCTGCCGCGCTTTGGCACGGTCTTGCTCAAGGCGGGCTTGGAACTGTCGGCGACGCTCGGCCTCTTCTTCTCGACGCTCCGCTCGAGCTGCTTCCTCTTTCTTTTCCACGGCCTCAAGGTGTTGTTTTGCATCCTCGCGGTCTTGCTGGCGTCTGGCTTCGACAAGCGCAGCTTCTTCCCTACAAACCCGCTCTCGCTCATCTCGCTCTCGTTTATCCTCTGCGCGCCGCTCGTCGCGTTCCTCTCGTCGCCGCTTCCCCTCGGCTTCGGCTCTGCGATCGGCGTCTTCGCGAAAGAAGAGCAGTAGCTCCTTCATTTCCGATCCCATTGCAGCGTGGGCAGCCTCTGCTTCTTTCAATTCTTTGTCAATAGAATCCATGCGCTTCATGGCTTGGTTTCTCTTCGACGCAGCGTACGTCGTCGTCACCGAGCTCTCAGACGCGGGGCTTTTGGCTTTAGCTCCTGGATCGCGCCCACCCATTACCTCAAAGTTGTCCCGAAGAACTCGTAGATCTCGCCCACCTAGGCGATCACTGGTGTTGTGCAGCCGTTTGTGTTTTTCGGCCTCTGCTGCATCGGAAGCAGCACGATCCGAATTTCGCGTTAGGGTGGGCCCGTCGGGCGAAGCCACCGAAGCCAGAGGTTGGCAGTCGCGCTTCGGGCGGCTCACAGCTCTCGGTGTCACCGGCGTGGGCCTCGCCAACGCCTTTGGCGTTGATCGAGCGTCAATGGTCGTTGCAGAGGCCGCACTTCGATCGCTCCGTGCACCATTAGCTGTAGTTTGGCCGTCTTACGCATCACGCACCTCTCCGTCGCCAAGGTTGGACTCAGCCTGCTGGAAGTCAGCAGCGAACTCGACCGGAACGAGGCCCTGCTGGGTTATCACGACCCCAGCAAGCCGCGTATCGTTGCCGCGAAGCTTGGGAACGGGAGGAAGAGGGGGGTCACGAGGCTGGTTGGCGTCAGCCTCTTCGGACGTACCCTCCTCCGAGCTTTTTTCGTCGTCGACCGAGTTGGCAGAGGAGACCGACTCGTCGTCCTCCTCCGCCACCTCCTCCTCGTCATCCTCCTGCTGCTTGTCGATCCGAGCACGGTTGCTGTCTCCACCGTCCTTGGTCGAGACCAAGTTCGGTTTCACGTTGAAGGTCTTGCCCACCTCGTCCGCGAAGAGGGCCATGTTGACCTCATCCATGAGGTTCTCGTCGTCCTCTCCGTTGTCGCGCCCGTCGTGCGAGGTGTGCGCCCCTCCCTTCTTCTCTATCTCATATTGAGTCTCATGAGCCATGGGGATAGCTCGCTGTTTGAGCGTCAGGCGGTCACCCTGATCGCCCGTGGGCTTGGCCTTCCCGTAGAGCTTGCGAAACTTTCTCCGCAGTGAGTCAAAGTCGCGTTCCCGCCAGGCAGGGTCCCTGGAGCCATTGGACTCGGCCGCTAGCGTCATCCACATGTTCCTTCCAGTCGGAAGGATTTTTGCGGCCAAGTCGCAAAGGAGAAGCTCCTCGTTAGCACCGTAGTTCTGGTATCCTTGCTGCCGGCCTCGCTGTAGATAGACACGTAAGATACGACGCAGGTTAGACCCAAAGAGGAACGCATCGAAGGGAGACAACGAGCTGTACGAGACCCACCGCCATACTCTCCGTCGTTGCTTGTGTCGAAGCCGTCGAGGGGGCGAATGAACCCATCGCGTCCTGGGTCGTATGTATGATGTTCAGTATGTCAATCAGGAAGCTTCGAATTTCAAAAGATTTCATTACACAACATGAACACAATTTTCAATGCAAAGCTGCCTTAAAGCCGCTCCCGGGAGGTGGATTCAAGCAGAGTCCGAGTCCTGGTGCAAGTGTTGCAGGTGGCGATGCTGGCACCCCGACCACCCGCAGCGACAGACAAACCACAACTTGTTGCCGTAGGAGACCGTCACCTCCTCGCCCGGGTAGATATCACGAATGCTGACGGCGACCACCGTCAGGCGCTGGCCCGTTTGAACTTCGTGGAACCGGGCACTTGGATTGCAGGCGTGGTTCATGAAGCGGAGGTTGCCGCCTACTTTCAAGGCGTCGATGCCGATGAACTTGTTGCCCGTAGTGCGGGTCCGTAGGTGCATTCTGTAGCCGTCGTTGACTGGGCCGTTCTTGCAGGGCGGTCCGAACAAGTCCACGTGGTATTGGAAAGTGGCAGTTTTCAACGCTGTTGACCCGCCAGCTCGACAATCAAGTTCAATCAAGGGGCGATCAAGGCGAGGTCAAGCGAGAGACGGAGATGGCTACTTCTGATTGGATGATGACATTATCCTCGGTCGAGTGACAGGCAGTGGCCGAAGCCTCGTCGGGTCCTAATAGAACCCCGAACGAGGCTTCATGCTACCCACTTTTAGGTACAGATGCATTTAGTTACGTACTTCGGCCGCACTTATTAGTGTAGCCGCGGTCGTCATTTGATGTGTCCGGAATCGCCTTATTGCGATCGTTCACACTAGATATTTGTATGGGGACATAGGACTCATCATAGGATGGCCAGAACGAGGCCCCCAGGGCCTCAGAAAACTCAGTAATAAAAAGACAGTCTTCCCCCAAAGCCAACAAGGGTCAAGTCCGACTTCGGTAAGTGTAGCTAGCTTATTGTAGTGCCTGGACACGCTCGGCTGCGTGTGGATGCCTGTCGGGGAGCTTATCGTGCATTGACCGAGAGTTTCCTTGGCAGCGCCAAGAGTTGGCGTGGCCGGAGAGGCAGGAACGGTATTAGAGTATCGTTCAGTATATATTTGTGTCCCTGAGTGTATTAGTCTACCTACCGAGGTTTTACCTTGGTCCCCCTGTATAAGGCCTAACTCGCCGGTACCCTTCTTTTCTGAGGGACTGCAGTGGGGTTGCGCGAAAGCGCTACATAGTATCCTAGCCTTAGCTCGTGGCTAGTGGTACAGGTTTTTGGGTTGACCGAAGATAACCTAAGGTGCACAGAGGCGCTTGCAACCGACCCGGTGTAAGGGATCGTTCCTGGTCTTCAGGTTTTGATCCAATAAGCGCTTACCTTTGCGGGTTAGCGTGTTGTTGGTGTCTCTAATACCTTTTGGTAGAAGAGAATTTAAGTGGTATTACCACACCACATCCATGTGGCCAAAATACTGTCCGATGAATTCTTCAGCAGGAATCGCAGCTTGCGCCACCAAGCCGCGCATTCCGGCGCGCAGGTTGCGACCAATTGCGAGTGCGCGGCTTTCGTGAAGCCCGTTGCCGCACTCGGCAGCGAAGGTACAGTTGTACTCCGTGCAGAATCTGCTGCTTCGAGCGTTGAGGCAATTGCTTGCCTTGCAGCGCTCCTCGCACCCACAGCCAAGCCCCCCTCTCACCCCCACGCTGACGGCTGGGAACTTCCAGCGGCGCGGATTCAGCTGCGCTGACGTGAACTGTACGTCATCCGGCCACGTCTCGAGCTCCCACTCGTCGCGGGGTGGGTTCACGGCACCGCCTTCGACAACAGTAAAGCCCGGGGAGCTCATGCGCGAGGCGGTAAACGACGGGCGTGCAGCTGGAAGTGGGGAGCCGATGAGCGGCGCCGTCTCGGGTTCGTCGCTGTCGGAGGCGACCGCCTCGGTATACCAAGCAGGAAGAAACTCTGCACGTTTGTGCAGGCGCGACCGGAAGGGGCTTTGGGGTGACCACGGGGGAGTCGCGGTTTGGGAACTTGCCGTCGCAGGCGAGTATGCAGCATCTGGACTCGAAGCTGAGCGCGCAGGTGTGACCGGGGGCGATGGTTCCGTCTCAGTGCTCTGGCTGGAACGAGGACTGAAGGGGCCATCACCCGACGAGGCAGGCGGGGAGAGCCGAAACTCCGCAAGTGGAGCCACCTGCATCGTCACAGACGCATTGACGCCTTCGGGCAGCACCACCCGATCGGATCGCGTCCTTGGCGACGCTGACCGTTGGTGGTCAGAAGCAGCGGGGGCTCCTACGCCGGAGGGCAACGAGGCCGAGTGCTCGGAGATCTCTCTGGACAGTTCCTCCTCGGCGGAGGGTGTCGCGCGTGGCGACACTCGGGTCGTGACAGTAGTCTTCACGGTCGTCACGGTCTTGACGACCGTCAGCACCGTGGTCTTCTTGACCTTCGCGCCGGCGCGAGGTCCCGCCGGTGGTCCCATGGGCGTGACAGCAACGACGGCCAAAGGAAGTGGGTTGGCTGGTACATCAGCAGCGACCTCGCTGCGTGGCTCTGCTGATGGCGGTTCGCAGCGGCGTCGAACGCCACGGCCCTGAGCTTGCGGCGCTTGGAGACGAGAGCACTCAAAGTCTCGTGAGCACAGCTTGTCGCGTGGCGGCGCTTGCTCGGGGGAGACGGGTGCATGGTTGCCTAGGCAGTGAATCAACAATCTTTTAGCTGGCATGCACAACCACAGCAACTCATACAGTGTACGTACACGTTTGCAGCAGGCGGGGGCTTCGGCACGACGAGGCGAGATTCGAAATGAGGCGTGGGCTGTGCGAGCGCGCGCGCTTTCGCGCCTTAAAGCCCTCTAAGATCGCGCGCGCAACTTCAATTCAAACGAAATCTCTAAATGAGGGAGCTGTTTGGACCCATACATTCTTTAAGATATTTTTTAATCGAGTTGCCAAATAAGGGGGTGATTAAAAGGACGACCAAACCCATTTTCGAATTGTTTGAACGGAGACTTTTTTGATCCTCCAAACAATTCCGTTTAATCGCTCCGTTTAATGACCGGTTTAATCCCCCCTACCCCTAATGACCAAACCGTTTTATATAGGTTTTGGAAGGCGCCCAATGACCAAACCGTTTTATATAGGTTTTGGAAGGCGCCCAATGACCAAACCGTTTTATATAGGTTTTGGAAGGGCGCAGCGAGCCATTGGTGGCCAGTAGCTCGCCCAGGAGGCCAGTCCAGCGAGTCCCTGGTGTCAGTGTCAGGGCCGAGGTTCGAGCGCACCACGCCCTCCTACTGCAGCACCACGGTCGTGGACAGCAAGGCACCGGAGGGTGTGCCGTCCATGATGGTGGCGACTGCCAGCGTCTTCCCCAGCGGCGCGTCCGGAGCGGCGTGTGGGCTCTTGAGTCTCTGGTGTTTTCTGCAGTGAAGGCTACCTCTACGATTCTATAGGCTGGTCTTGGGAATAAGTTTTCCCACAACTCCGTGTTTGGTCGCAAAAGGTTGAAAATGTCAAAAGTTTCCCCAGCACTCCGTATTTTGGGAATTACCCGGCAGGCGAATACATCACCGCGAGCATCTGCATGATACAGTAGCGAAGTGAGATGTCGATAATTCTCGGAGCGGAGCAAGCCAAGCGCTGCTGCCGCCGGCAACGCCAGTCATGCCGAGGCAGGTCAAATGCAAGTTGCCTTTCGCTACTCGCGCGGGCAACAAAGTGGGGTGCACTTGGTGTGGCGCAGCCCGGAATGCCGTCGAATTCGTGTGCGTCGCCGCAGTCGGCAGCATACAATTCGCAAGTCATTCCCGACCGACCAGGCCCGTCAGCTCCACAGCTCCACTTCCGACCGCGGCTATGTCCGGTGAGCGCATACGATCACATACTGAGATCGAGATGATTGCAGCCGGGAAGACGACCGGCACAAAAAGGACGGTGAAAAGACAGGTCAACTGGCGTCTCTATCGCGAGGTTGATCCGCCCACAAGCCTTATATCCCAAATAGCACCCATGTCGTTAAATCCAGGGGCATGATCCACCGACCGACCAGCTGCTGAGCGGATCGTAGAGCATACTTTCCTCAAGTGAACAGGTCCTGCATAAACCGACCGCCCGGCTCGCCCCGGCGCATTTTTTTATAACCGCCCGGAAGCCCGGCGAAGTCCGCTGCTCAGCTCGGCCCCGAGGCTGACCGCAGTTCCCATTGTGCATTAGAGTGCTCAAGTCGATTCGTGCGTGAAGTGCCTCGAGCCGAACACCAAGCCAAGCAACCCGCAAGCAACCCACATCAATGCACTACTGCCCCATGGACTCCCAGTCGTCATCGTTTTCGGCGGTGCAGCCGCAGCAGCCCTGCGTGCTCGGCCACAAACGCCGGCGCAGCGACGCCACCACCTCGCGCGCCACTGAAATGGAGTACACAAGCCGCAGCGACAACAATGCTGAGAGCTGCTGCACCACCTCGGGCGAGACCTCGGGAGACGAGAGCGACAGCAGCTTCGAGGCGGAGCTGGAGGTCGAAGAGGAGATGGAGGAGGCGCTGGCGGCCGCCAAGCGGCTACGCCGCGCCGAGCTGGACGGGCTCAAAAAGTCGGTGAGACGCATGGAGGCGCAAGTCGTCGACGCGTCCGCGCAGCTGCGGGACCTCGCGGCGCTGGTGGCACAAGTCGTAGCGCGGCGCCAGCAGCAGCAGGCATAGACATCCACCCTTCCTCCATACGCACAGTTCAAGCAGATCCTAGTTTATCGCGCAGCAAAGCCGCCGCGCGCCACGGCGATCGTCGGCGTTCGTGCCCAGTCCATACCCGTTAACATCTTAATTGAACGTTGTTCCGCTTTCCCTCGCTTAGCCCCCTCTGCAGCACACTTCGCCACTTCCATCATCAACAGGCAGCAACTCATGCACACGCGATACCCCCACGAGCAAGCCGCCAGCACGCCACCGTTGCCTCCAGCCATCGAACGACGAAGAAGTTCGACCAACGAGCCGCGAGCTTCCGGCCGCGCGCCGTCTCTTATGCGGCCGGTCGGATTCCCGACCACCACTATCTTGCGCTGAGTATGTTCCGGTCGAGTCGATCCCGACGTCGGTCGGTGAACGCAGGGTCGGTACCGTACTTTGTTCCCCTGCTGTTCGACTCGTGTTGCGCACATAAAGATGGCCGTACATAAGAGTGGTGTTGAGCACATCATATCGAAATGACTGCCACCACTGAGACCTCTACATTTGAAGCTTCTGACTACATCATTACGGGACGCCCGACGTCGAAGCCGACCTGCACGGCAAGCTGCCGAGTGCGGCGCGCTTTGGGGCATGCCGCGCCTCCGACGGCGTGGGCAGTAGGCTGCAATAATAGGCGACTCCATACTGGTCTACACAACTCGAATACCGCCGGGCAAGGCCCATTTCGCTAGTTGCACATTGTTGACTCAATTCGCAGGTTGCGTGTGCTCTGTCTGTACGGGCAGCCGTGGACAACGGGGCTTGACAGTCCATTGCCAGTTCCGTTTCCGCATGCTACGACGTCTCGTGCACGCCGCCAAACAGCGGCACGTCCGTCTTGGGTCCCTGCGGAGACAGGTGGTGGGTCTCCTCCACGAACCAGAGCTTGTCGAAGAGCGCTGGCTGCGGGTCGACCGCCAGCTCGGCCGTGATCGCGTCGCACTGCGCACGCAGGCGGTCCAGGTCCTGCTCGCTGACGTCGGGCGAGAGCACGCGCCCTAGCGTCGCGTGGATGATCACGCGCGTGTCCGTCTTGGGTGCGTACGAGAAGGTCTCCTTCGCCACGCGGCGGATGTGGTCGACGGAGAACTCTGCGTGCTCGTTCACGACTCCGCTGATCTTCTCTGTGGCCGGCAGGCACTGGAACAGCATGATCATGGCACCCGAGGAGGCCATGAGCACCTTGACGGGGGCCATGCGGAACGGTGCGAAGCGCGTGCACATGGTATTGAGCTGCGCCACGTCCTGCGGGAAGCGCAGCTTGGCGTTGGGGGCCAGGTCGCCCGGGTGCGACGTGTGGAACAGCGTGACGTGCATGAGCTCGCGGCGCGTGACGCAGGCCACAGCGTTGTTGGTCTCGGTCTCACGCGGCAGCAGGTCAGTGAGCTGCTTGCCGATGGCGTGACAGCGCTGTGCCATCTCGACGGGGATCGGCGCGCAGATGAGCGCGACGCCGTCGTTCTTGCTCGGGAACACGTACGGCTTGGACTCGAGCGTTGCGCCGGGCGTGAAGTTCTGCCTGTCGGAATGAAGGGGGCAACGGGGTTAGTTGCGTATCTTACAGATTGTAGCATGGCGCTGATGCGACGCACCTCGTCCTGCGCACGCCCTCGCGGTTGAGCGCCTTCTTGCCGCCCTCGTAGAGCTCCTCGTAGAGCTCGGCTCGCTGCTGGCGCCACTGCGCTTCCTGCTCCGCCCAGGAGCTCATCTTATTTGCTGCTTGGGGTGAAAACTGAAGTGTGATAATGATGTAAGAGATGAAGATTGGGGTGCGACACAGATGTTGCACTCGGTAGTCGCGACTTGGCTTCATTGTCGTTGATGGACGTGTGCAAGTTAAGTTGCCTCTGTCGGCCCCAGCGAGATCGTGGTGGTGTGCCCGTGGGGCGGATGAAGTGCGCTTCATCCACGTACCAGAGCTTGCTCACGACGAAGGCATCCACATCGTTGGGCTCAGCGCTCCGCAGTCGCTGTGAGATGCGATGGCAGACTTCACGCACACGAGTCAACGCAGTCTCATTGAAGGCATCGGGAGACAACACGCGTGCTAGTGTCGAGTGGATAATGGCCCGCGGACTCTTCTCAGACACGAACGGCAGCTTATCCCGCGCGGCCTGGCGCAGCAGATCCACGCTAAACTCCGCGCGGCGTCCAGCGTTCAACGGCTTTCGACCGCCAGTAGCGCACTCCTCACCCTGCTTGACGCCACTGGTCGAGTCGCCATCGCCTTCAACACATTGGAGGAGCAGTAGGACGGCCCCGGAGGCAGCCAACACCACCTTGACGGGGATCATGCGAACAGGCTCGAACTGGGTCGCCAGCTCTCTCCGCAGCGAAATTTCGCGACTGAGGCGCTCGCTCTTGCGCTCGTCTTGAGCCTTTCGCGGCGCCAAGTCGTCCGGGTGCGACGTGTAGAACAGCGTCACGTGCATGATGTCTTGGTCGCCCACGTACACGTCCTTCGTCTCCGCAGCCTCGCAGTTCTCTTTCGGCCCGCCTTGCAGCGCCGTTAGAACTTCTCGCGTGATTCCACCATATCGCTGCGCTGCAGCTCGTGGAATCTCCGCACACACCACGGTCACCGCGTCTCTCTCATGCTGGAAGGCGAACTGCCTCGGAACAGCTCGACCCGAGTCGTCAAAGGTGAAGAGATCCCTGACACAGCAACAAACAGCGTCACCCCAGTCCGCTGTAGCATTAGGCTAGACAGCCCCTATCTTCTACCTGGACGCAAGTACGGCGTCGCGGTTCAAGCCGTTCTCGGCACTGCGCTCCAGCTTGTCGTAGAGCTCTCGCCGCTCGCGCCGCCACTTGATCTCCGTCTCCGTCGTCTCCATGGTCTGACGATCCCCTTGAAGTCCAACCTGTCTCTTGTGCGCGCCACCCATCCAGGCGCCACAACTCGATAATCGGCAGGAGTAGTCACAGTCACCATGGGGCAGGACGGCGGCGCGTACGCCGTGGTGCTCTACTACAAGTACGTGCGTCTGTGCGAGACGCAGCAGGAGCTGGACGCCTTCGCCGCGGCGCACGAGGCGCTGTGCTCGTCGCTGGGGCTCACCGGCCGCGTGCGCCTCGCGTTCGAGGGCATCAACGGCACGCTCGGCGGCTCCAGCGCCAGCGTGCAGAGCTACATCGAGGCCATGAAGCAGCGCCCGCAGTTCGCCGACGTGGACTGGAAGACGAGCGCCTCTAGCGTCGAGCCGTTCCCGGAGCTGCAGGTGCGCGTGGTGGCGGAGATCGTGGCGCTGGAGCTACCCGACGACGCGTACGACTTGGCTCTGCGGGGCCAGCACTTGACTCCGGAGCAGTTCCGCTCCGCGCAACTGGACGCCGACCCGGAGTCCATCGCGCTGATCGACGTACGCAACACGTACGAGTACCAGGTCGGCCACTTCGCCGGCGCGCTGAACCCCAAGACTCGCCGCTTCGGACAGTTCCCGCAGTGGGTGCGGGACGGGCTGCCGATGCTGCAGCAGAAGAGCAAAGTGCTCATGTACTGCACCGGCGGCATCCGCTGCGAGAAGGCCTCGGCCTACCTCAAGCACCTGGGGCTGGACAACGTCTACCAGCTCGAGGGCGGCATCCACCGCTACCTCGAGCGCTTCCCGGACGGAGGCGGGCTGTTCCAGGGCAAGAACTTCGTCTTCGACCAGCGCGTGACCATGGCGTCCGAGGACAAGTCGGTCACGGGCCAGTGCGAGCGCTGCCAGGTGCTGCACGACACGCTCTCGGGCACGCGCTGCGCCTACTGCCGCATGCATGTGCTGCTGTGCGATGGCTGCCGCGCCGACGCCAAAGCGCGCGGAGAGACCGACGACGACGTCTTCTGCGACGAGCACCTGCCCTTGGTCTCCGGCTCGCTGGAAGACCTGCGCACGCGCGTGCAGTCACTGCAAGACTCGCTCGACAACGAACACGGCCGAGGCAAGAAGGGTCGTCGTCGCTCGCTCCGCAAGCAGCTTGACACCGTCGAGCGCCGGATACAGCGCCTCGTGCCCACGCCTACTGCTTAAACTACATTCTGACTGTGAGAGGTAACATGACAAACACGCCGATGTCGATAACCCACTCACTCGTTCATTGTGGTGATCCATTTGCGACTGACCCAAGCGGTCGCGCTGACGGGTGAAGCGTTGCTCGTCTTGCTAGTGTGAACAGGTTTCTATGCGTGGCGCTGGACGACGCGGAGGTGGCGGCGGAGGTGGTCGAGCTGGAGGACATGCACGGCGGAAGACGGGTGCAGACTCGTCGTCGGATCCGAAGACGTCGCTGGTGGATGAATGGCGCGCGCACGAGGAGGACTGCGCTGCTCGAGTGCTGCAGAACCAACTGCGCGCGTATCTGAGTCGACAACGCATCGCTCGACTGCTCATGAGCGTCTACGAGAAGCACTACGACCCCATCCGCAAGCAGCACTTCTACGTGAACACGCTGACCAACGTGAGCACTTGGGAGAAGCCGCTGCTGCTGGTTCGCTTCCTGCCGGGAGACCACAACATCTCCCGAGGTAGAGTGGAGTTGGCTCCGAAAGAGGCTTCGCAACGCATCCAACGCGTAGTGCGAGCGTTCCTTGCTAAGAAGACCATCCGTCAACTAGTGCGCGAGAACTACATGAAGCTGTTCGACCAGGAGAGTAGGGTATTCTACTACCTCAACACGCGCACGGGCGAGCGATCCGAACAAAAGCCGCCATTCTTCCGCCAACGCCCCAACACTGCGGGTGCGATCTCCAAGCGCGCTACATCAAGCAAGAACGACGACGACGACCTGGAGATTGAACCATTCTACTTCCGCAAGGCGGTGTGCAAGATTTCGTCGGAGGGGAACCCCTACGGCTCCGGGGTGATCGGTCGGTTCTGTGGCATCTTGTGCGTTCTCGCCGACGGTAAGACGCTGGCGGATGAGAACTGTGCTCGATCGGCTCGAGTCATTTGCAACTACGCCGACGAGCGCGTGGCGTTCCCCGTGATGTTGTCCGCCGACACTTTCTTCGCGGGTATCAAGATGCCAGAAGACTCTGCTTCGCGACTTCAGGCCCTCGATGGAGTCACGCAGCCACACCCGCAGTCGCCAAAGAAGAAGAATCGTAAGCCGCAGTTCGACTTCGCGCTGTGCGCCTTAAACGAAGACCAGTTCTTGATAGCCGCTGGCTCAAACATCCAGCCGCTTCGCTTCGAGGTGAACGACCGGAAGTTGGGCTGCGGTGAAGCGGAGAGTCTGCGACTGGGTGATCATCTCGAAGTGGTGGGCCATCCTCACGGGAAGCTGCAGGTGCTGCATCAACGGCAACTGGCGAAGCTCGTTCCAAACTCGATCAATCCGCAGCATCTGCAGTATGACTCGGTCATGGAGTCAGGATCGGCTGGGTGTGCCGTATTCACCCGCGGGGGAAAGTTGATAGGCATTCACGAGTTTGCTGGCCCCAAGGAACCACCGCCTCTGTTGTGTTGGTACATCAAGCCCATACTGCACACGGCGCTCACACTAGTAAGTACGTCCATCCCCTGCGTGTACCATTGTATCTCCCCCCTGTACATGAGCCTCTGTCTAACGCTGTTGTTGTTTGATGGCCAGCACCCCCTGAGCCGTTGATCTTAACGTCGTGCGTGGCTTCGACTGGAGTGCAAGTGTACTGGCAGCTCCCAAGAGACTGGCAGGCCCTGCGTGGTCTCCCAGTCGACTTTGAGCTTGAAATCTGTCGCCACGGCACCCTCGACACGCTCCATCACGACCCATTCGAACGGATTTACAGCGGACCAAAGAGCAGCCACCACATCGATGATCTCCATGGTGGCACGATGCACTCGTTACGATGTCGGGCGGTGAACCGCATGAAGAAAAGTCGATGGAGCTCCGTGGTGCGGTTCATCACGCTGCAACAAGTCTCGTTGGCTTGGCGGCTACGGCACTGCACGACCGTGAAGGAGGCCATCAAACGGATGAAGCACCAGCGAGCAGACCCGCAGACGCAGTTCCGCAGTGTGCAATGGATCTACGCGCAGCTCGAGAAGCGCGAGGAGGCAGATCGAGTCGAATGGGAACACCAAACGGACGGGATGCGCGGTGATCGCGGCAAGCCCGGGGTTTCCAATCAAGTTGAATTCGAGCAGGAACTGCTGGACTGCCAAGGGCTGGAGGCGCTTCTCGACTCCATCGCGTGGTTCCCTGGTGAGAAGGACACGATCGCTCTGATCGTGCGACTGTTTCTCAAGCTCGCGTGCTTGCAGAAGAGTACGCAGCGATTCATGACGGAAACTTCACGCTTTCAAGTGCTGTGCGATCTGCTCCGCTCCCATACAACGAGCAGTGATGCACCACAAGATGTGGCTGAAGATACTTGTACAGAAGAGCTGAAGGCGTCGGGACCGGAGCTGGAGATCCCATTGTTGTGTCTGGAGCTGTTGGGTACCGTTTTGAGCGAGAATGGCGCTGCCAAACTTGTGTTCGAGTCGTGTTCGGGTGTTGGCCTGGTGCTATCCTTCTTGGAGCGTGGCGCGTACCGTAACGAGGCTGCTGTCGTTGGGGAGTGCTGCTACATCCTCGCAGTCTTTTCGTACGAGAACGGTGAGTCAGTCACCTAGTCGTCCTTGCCATTGCTCTACATTGCGTACTGACCTGTTGTGCTTGGTGTTCACTTCGTCCAGCAAGCGTCAAGTGGGAGATCGCTGAAGCCAACGGGCTCGCGCTACTTCAGCGCGTGCTGCTCGACCACCGTCAGGCATCTCGCGTGCTGTACTGGGCATTGATCACGATCGGCAACGTGGCCTACGGCCTCGATGAGTCCACTACCAGGCCACAACTGGAAGCCGAGATAACGACGTTGGGGCTCGTTGACAGCGTCTGCGCAGCCCGCGTGCACTTCTTGTCGCGGTTGCACGAACTCGAGCTCTCACTTGTTGCGGCTCAAGCGCGTCTGGACCGCTTGTATGCCATCCACGTCGGAGAAGAGACTCGGAACGAGCTGGACGCCTGCACGCAACTGGTGGAGACGCTGAAAAACGTCATCGCGGATTGGCAGAGCTACGACGTCGCGAAGGCTGCCGACTACGCCTTGCGGTATCTGCTCACCGAGGAGCAACGTCGCGTGCAACTCGCGTCCAAGCGGTTGATGTGGAAGTTCCTGCTGCGCACCTTGTCGATGGCGATCGAGAAATGGTGCGAGGTGACAGTCTACGAGCGACATCGAGCCATGTTCGTGACCTTCATCAACACCGTCCGCACTCGACAGCTCCGCCCGGCATTCCGGCGCTGGGAACAGACCACGCGAGAGATGCGCAAGCACAAGTCCATTTTGCAGACGATCGGGTCCGGGTTGGCCATCGATCTGACCAAGAAGAAGAGAGAGCGATACCGCATGCTCGTGCTGCAGAAGTAATGGAGTCAGCCAAACACGCGTTGACATTTGAAGTAAGTGCATTTGCCATTGTTTCCTACCGTGGTCTCAGACTTGAAATACAAAGTGACATGATAAAGACGTCGCCGATAAACCTACGCTTATCTTGCTGGAGACAATGGAGCTCCCAATCCGAGCTCAGCTAGATCACAGCGTGGAAACTGTCGTGGCGGCCCTCGCTGTCCGCGCTGCCGCCCAGCATCGACCCCGTGTGGTCTCCAGCACCTTCGGCCAACGAAGCGGAAGCAGCGGAAAGCGCCGAGCTTTCGGACGAGTCAAGGAGCGAAGAAGCGTCCATGTGCTGCTGGCTGTCCACCTCGAGCGACGTCATCGCCTGTGATGAAGTCACACTGTTACTTCCGTCGTGGGCCACACTAGCGTCGAGGTCGAACACATTCTTCCCATCTCCACTGGCGCCCAAAGCACCAATTGCCTCCTTCTGTCCCTCCATTCGAATCGCATCCTGCACCCGTCGGATCGCGTTCAGAGCGCTGTCGTCGGCATCACTGCGGTCCTTCAGGACGTGGAGGACGTCTCGGAACGCCTTGAGCTTCTCCTGGAGCGACAGCGTGCGGCCTGGGCTTTCCTCGATTGTGTCGTCGACTTCGTCCTCGGGCACCTCGCAGACGCTCGACACGACATCGAACTTGTCTTCGTGCACCGGGTAGTCCGACATGGTCTCGTCATTGAGATACTCCATCATAGGCACGGGGTTGGAGAGGCGGAGAAAAAGCATCAGGTGCTCCAGCTCCGTGTCCAGCAGTACTTCCTCCTCCTCCTGGAGCAGATCATGGTCGTCCATGCCCACGCGGTTGCGCACGACTTGCGTGGGGATCCAGGCGCGCTTGATCGTCTCGGTCGTGATCTCGTCCCAGCTCGCAGCGGCCCACTTCATGGCCTGCAGCACGTCCACATCGAACATGGTGCTCTTGGCCGTCTCGGACTTGTCGATGGCGTAGCGCAGGTGGTAGCGGCGGAAGCGCTTCTTGAACGTCGTCACCACGCGGGACGTGATGGGATTCAGCATCTGCATGACAGCAGGGGTCAGCATGAACACCACGATGTTCTTCAGGTCGAGGTGCGCGACCACGTGCGAGGGCATGTCGTTGATGAACAACAAGATGCGGCGCTTCTGGTTGGCCATGGCGAAGTCCAGCCGCTGCAGCCAGCGCGAGAAGATGACGCCCGTCATCCACGCCTTGTTGTTCCAGAAGTAGTGCAGGCCGTGCTGCTCGGCCGTCTTCTTCTGGAAGCACTTGGGGTGCTCGTGGTGCGACACAAACAGCGGCTGCAGCTTCTCCGAGCCGTCGGCGTTGGCGGCCAGCGACACCACGAAGCGCTTCTTGCAGCGCATGCGGCCGTCCTCCAGCGCGTTCTGCACGGGCGGCATCGTGTACAGCACGGGCGTCTCCTCCACGGCGAAAATGTCCTTGAGCTCGTACTTGTCCGTCTCGCTCATGAGCGCCTCCATGTTGGTCCAGTAGAGCACCTTGGGGTTGCCCGATGCGGCGCCGCGGCGCGCAGGCACGCCCGCCACGCTGGCGTCGTCCAGGCCGCCGGCCGCCGCCGTGGCGTGGTGGTGGTGGTCGGCGTTGAACTTGCGGAAGCTGAAGTTGTGGCGCAGCTGGAACGAGTGCAGCCAGCCGTTGGAGAACTCGGGCTGCTCGCTCTCCGGGATGCCGAGCATCTTGGCGAACTCCTTGGCCTTCTCCTTGGTGAGGTCGCCCTGCACGGTTTGGCCGCGGCCGGTCATCTGGATGACCCAGTTGGCCAGCGCGCTGTCGAGCTGCGGGTGCTGCACGACGCGGCGCTTCTTGATGCCGAGCTCCAGCGAGCTCATGTTGATGAACTCGTGCTGGCGGCGCAGGATGCCCGAGATGGTCGACTGCGCGGGCGTCTTCTTGAGCCCGAACTCGTGCTTGGTCCACTGGGCCAGGTCCTTCTGGGACATGACGCCGCCGCTCTTGCGGTAGAACTCGCAGATGACCTTGCGCTGGTAGTTAGTCAGGTTGCCGTTGCCGCTGCCGCCCGCGCGCCGCGGCTTGGCCGGCGCCTTGGCCGGGGGAGCAACGGCCGGAACGCCACTCAGCGCGGCGGCCTGCTGGGCCATGGCGTCCGCGGCGCCGGGGGCCGCGTCCGACACGAAGGCGGCGGCGGCGGCAGACACGTCCACATCGGGCGCGTCCGCGGCGCGGCGGTTAGACGGAGTGAGACTGCTCGACGAGGCCATCAAGTCCCGTGATATTCGATCGGTCGCTCGGCGAGTCCTGTGAATGGTGATTCATGGCGCCAGGCAGTCAGTTTGAAAGGAAAATTGCGGAATGAGAGGACTGACTCTTATTTGGCAACTAACGTCACTATATCGGGGTATAATAGTGACAGGAACAACTTCAACTTGATTTGACTGTGGTAGTCAGGGTTTGGTAGTAGTCAGCAGAGTGGTAGCGATAGTAGTAATAATATTACTACTACTATATTACTACTATAGCACAGTGGTCTGGGCTTCATAGTAGTGATATAGCTAAAGTAGCGATAAAAAACGCCACTAGTAGTGATAATAGCACTACTACTTTCCCGAACTTCAACCCACGTCAGATCTTTAAAAGGCGCGCAAATTTGGCCTTCCCCTCCCCGCACTCCGCGCCCCCTCGCTCATTTCTGAAAACTCAAGCGGGGAACAAGCAGGTAAAGCGCGGTAGAAGGCATGTCATTCGATCGTGCAGTACCATTCGAGTAGTCCGTCGACCTCTCAAAACGGCGCATAATCTAGCTTGGCTAATACTTCTACCAGTAGGTTCTGCAGCAGCTCGCGCCTCAGCAAGTTCTTCCAAACGGATAGCAGCGCTGAAGTTCAAGAACCTTGAGATCACCGGAGGAGCAGAGTCAGTAACAGCATCCCCGACGACATCGTCCAAGGTGTGGAAGCTCGTCTACTACAAGGACAAGGTATGTATGCTTATTTTTTGCTGTGTGTGAACCCGGAGACGTGCTCACAATTGTCCTGTCTTCAGGGATCCAAGTGCAATTTCCCGTACGGTGGCTGGTCCTGGTGCGTGTCTGAGTTACTGTTGTGCTAATAGCTACTAAATCTCACTGTACAAATTTAGACTTGCTGATGTCCTCGTCAACGTTGTAGTCAGCTGCTACACATGCTCGAGTTTAGCTGGGGCGTGGTTGTTCAACAGCGTTCCTAGAACGTGTGTTCCGGCTGGTTACTTCGTGGCGAGGCCACTATTATACGACAAATATCGAGAACGCAGACCAATCACACTGCGGCACGGGCGTCTTTATCTCGCCGATAGTGGGGATAGTAGTACTATATTAGCTCTATAGTAGTGATATTAGCAGTGATATCTACTAATGACGTTCTCCGACTACTAATAGTAGTATCAGTGCTATCGGCTCTGAGCCGGGTAGTAGTAGTAGTATCACTGCTAGCCGAAAGTCTCACTACTACCAAACCCTGGTGGTAGTTCTGCACGACACGATCTAGTTGGCTCTTGCGACTCTAGTCTCGCAGCCTTCACTCTTGGCGAAGCTCTTGGCAGCGAACGTCGCCAGCTTCTGGACGCCGACCTGCGCGTACGGCAGCACGAAGCTCGGGAAGATGGAGAAGACGTGCGGCATGTCGTCGTGCACGTCCAGCTCCCAGTTGGTCACTCCGTCCGCCTTGGCCTTGGCTGCTAGACGATCGCCATGCTGGAAGATGTAGTCGAGTCGGCCGAGCTGCAGCAGCACAGGTGGCAGGCCGCGCAGATCGCAGTGCGCCGACGACGCGTCCGCCCACGTGCGCGGGTCAGTGTACGTCGGGTGGTAGGCGAGGGTGAAGGCCTTGCACATGGGTCGAGACAGGAAGCAGTGCGGCGCGTCCGGCTCGTCGCCCGTGAGGTCGACGGCCGGGGCCAGCAGCATGGCGGCCAAAGGCAGCAGCTCCGGGCTCGAGTCGCGCACGCGCAGCATTGTGGACATGACGAGGCCCCCGCCAGCGCTGTCGCCCGCCAGGATGATATGCGACGGCTGCAGCTTCTCGTGCTGCAGCAAGTAGTCTCGGTACAGCGCCACGGTGTCCTGCGGGGGCGTCGGGAAGCTGCATTCGGGCGCCTTGCGGTAGTTGCCAAGGAGCACGTCGACGCTCAGGTCCCGACCGCTTCGCAGCTTCAACTCGCTCTCGATCGTCGCTGCCAGCTCCGCGCCCAGCGACGTGTAGAGTCTCGGACTCAGCACTGCGAACCCGCCGCCGTGCAGATACAGCACTACCAACCGCTTGGCGCCGCGCGGCCGAAGCTGTTTGTTGGGCAGCCAGACGTGCTCCAGTCCGTTGAAGTGCACGGCTTCGAGGCTGCGGTTGAAGCGGTGGCAGGAGAAGCAGCCCAGTAGAGATCCCAAGAGGTCGCTCTGAGCACGGACCCACTGCGCGTGGCTCTCGATGGCTATGCGTTCACCGTACGTCTCGGTGCAAACTCGGAATACAGAGTGGAGGAGCTCGAAGCGGAGCGACCAGTTGGGGAACTTGGTGGTACGACCTCGTGCCACGTACTGCATGAACGTCTTGGAAACCGCGGCAATGATGCGAATGAAGACGGAAAGTGATTCCCATGGGGCCCGGCACATGCCCTTGAAGGTGACATGGATCACCGCGACTGCGATCGCGACACCCGAGGCAATGAACATCGTATACAGGAGTTTCTGGTGCTGAGTGGTGTCGACAAAGACGCTCTACAGCATTACCGCCAGGATAACGAAAGCTACCTGGCAGTGGGCCTTGAAGACGATCATCTTAGTCGGAATCCTTGCTGCTTGGAGGGAAACGAGGAATGGTATGAATCGGCCATTCGTTTAACGGCCGTTTGGATTCCGACGCTTGACTTTGGATCCAAGCAGCGTGTCTGTCTCTACAAGATACCATTGCCTTGACATGCCCTCGTGACGAAGATGTCGTGGACTGGGAAGGAATGCTACAGGTGCTGGCTGTATTTCCATAATATGCGCTGGAATACATAAGAGACTCGCTATCCGAGCGGAGTGGTGATCCACGCTAGCATCAGCCTGACACTCAATCTAACGTTTGTTGCGAGTGATCCAGAGTTCCGATGCTACGAATCACCTGGAGGCTTCGTTTTCTAGCAGGCAGCAGCCGTGGCCCGACCCTTGCGGAAGACCGCCTTGCTGGGGTATTCCACCGGCACTGCCCTTAGAGTTGGCGCCGTTGCCTTCGGCCGAGGGGGTACGGGGGGCTTTGTCTCTGAATCGTTCTCCTGCTCCTCGCTAGACGACGAAGTCTCGGATGCGGTTGTCGACTTGAACGAAGAGGACGCCTCTGACGAAGCCTCTTCAACCGGCGATAAATTCCTCGCCGACGGCACGTGCACGAGCGAGAAGAGCGTCGCGCCACTCACCCGGCGTTTACCTTTCCGGAACAACACTTGCTTCGGGAGGAAGACGCCGCACTCAGGCACGTCTTCCTCCTCGTAGGCGCACGTCTTGCCTTCACGCGGAGCAGGCTTGGCCTCCATCACCTCCTCGAACTTGGCGGACTTCTTCGCCAAGTCCTCGATCTTCACAACCTTGCTAGCAGGAGCGTCCTGGTACTTTACACACTTCTTGTCGGGGCTGTCGTACGCCTTGGTGGGGGACCGTGCCCGCTTATCAATGCTGTCGGCTGTGGTCTCTTCAGCCGTGACGGTTGTCACCGGCTCATTAGAGTGCAGACTGCTGTAGTGGTCGTCCTTGAACAGCAGATGCAGGATCCGGTAGGGCGGCGGGGGTGGCGGGTTTTGGCCTGCAGTCTCCCCCTCGTCATCGTTCGTGACGCGGAGTCGGCGGACCGGGCCGGTGTGGACTACGATGTGGATGTTGAAGAGCTTGGCCGCCGCGTAGAGCTCGAGGTGGCCGCCCCACTGGCCGTCCTTGCGCAGCCGCGCGCAGTAGTCGGCCACCTCCTCGTCCTCAATGAAGGGCTTGAAGAGCTTCTCGTCGCTTTCGATGAAGTCCACGAGCCGCCGTCGGATGTCCTGGTGGAACAACTCGTTCGTGTAGAGCTGGTCGCTGATGGCCCGGAAGAGGCAGTTGCCGTCCTTGCAGATCTGCACCACGGCCCACCCGAGCGCGGCGTAGTGCGCTTCTACCTGTTCGTCGCTGGTCCAGGAGGCGTCGCGCTCCTCCACACCGCAGCGCGGGGACCCGTACTCGACGCGCGGGACGTAGCTACCAGCTCTGGGTTTGGTCTGGATGATCTCGGCGTCTACCTCTCGGGCCGCTGCGGCGGCGTCCTCCGCCAGGTCGGGACTACTGGGCTTTGGACTCGATTTGAACCAGAAGCGCCGCTTACGGGTCTTGCCCGACGACCGGAGACTGAACCGAGAGCTCAGCAGCCCGCTCGCTGGAGGAGACGACGACGGCGCTGTCATGATCGAAGACTACTAGGATGCGTGGTGAATTCTCGAGTGGATGAAGCGCGCGGGCGGTAGTCGCGCGCGTGTGTGTGGCATGAGTGAGTGAGTGAGTGGCAGAGGTAGAGGGCAGTTCCGCCTCCAGCTGCTGTGCATGAAGCGTCGGAGTGCAAAACGCCTCATGCCGCTAAATGATCATCCGGGCCGTTTGTGGTGTGGCGAGCGCGGTTAGCACCCAGCTGGTGCTGCACGTATGCACCGGGTCTCGTCTAGCGTGACGCAGGCGTCTGAAACGGAGGCATGAACGTCTCACGTAATGGGGATCGACGCTAACTAACTAGCACGCGACACTCGACGCGCGTCAAGCAATGGGCTCTACGCCAAGGACAGACGATGAGGGATAAGAGCTGGCATCGCGAGTCGTCGGAAGCTTCATCCATTGCACCTATCGCCGGCCCAGCAGCGCTCCAGCGCGGCCACCGGCACCACATCACTCGCGTTCTGACCCTAAGGCGTGCCTATTATTTCGACGCCGAGAGCTGTCGTCGAGCGAAGCCTTCTCGGCCTTTTTCAGTTGGCGCTGCTCCCTCTTGCTGAGCGTCTTGCCGGCCGCTGTGGATAGCTGTAACTGTTCGCCGAGAGTGCCTGCCAGTTGGTCGACCTCGCCGTCGACTATGCTTGGAACGACGCGCTGCTCCGGCTGGTGCTCTTTGCCTGCAGCTCCTGGCCCTGGGGAAGCTTGCGTCTGCCACCGCTGCGAGCCAAAATCCACCGCCAAACGCATTGGTAACCGCAGTCGCGACTGCGAAAATTCACCCAGGAAACGCACAAACTCACGCACCTTGGCCAGGTCCTCGGGGCGGAAGCCCTCGCAGTTGAGCTCGATTGAAACGGGCAGACTATCGGGATCGATCGGGTCACGCAGCGAACGCACGCTGTCGTAGTGGTCCTCACCGTGGTAGGCGACGTGCGCGATTCGCGTGGGCTTGAGGCGGTCGCACTCAATCAACATGATCCGCGCGCTGGGCTGGTCTTGGTGCACCACCACGTAGACCTGGAAGAGGCGGGCGGCAGCGTACAGCTCCTGGTTGCCGCCCCACGTGCCGTCTTCGCACATGCGCTCGCAGTACTACAAGACGAGCTCAGATCAGTCTCCGTAAGTAGGGATGCCATAGCTGGCAGGGCTCACCGTACCTTGTCAAACTTCTCCTCGTCTTCCATGAACGGTTCGAAGTCGTCGCGATGCTGCTCCAAGTAGTCCACGATTTTCTGTAAGAAGAAGAAGACAACGAGCGACGTGAGCTTTCCCCCGCATCTTCCACCCGACATACGACAAGATTGACCCACGCACCCCACGAACATCCTTGTGTCGGTGCTGGTCTCCATAGAGCTGGTCGGCTAGAGCACTGCGCCACGAAGCGACGAGCAGTACCATCTACAGTCCGTGAGTTGCCTCATTCAGAGCAATACCACATAACTGTACGGACGTACCGGAAGAGGCAATTGCCGTCAGCCTCCACCTCCTGCAGCAGAGTCACAACCATACACGTACACACAAACGCCATGCCATGCTGGACTCGTCAGCTCCCGAATCTTGGAGCCTTGGGCTCCAGTGCAACAAGCAACAGTGGGTTACCGTCCTACGTGCAGTTTGCAGCCAACGTCGGCCAGCTGCCGCCTCATGAGCTTGATGGCGTCGTCGTCCCGGACGTAGGACGAGCCCTTCTTCCTCTTGTTGTTGGCCTTGATCTTCCCCCGCTGGGCCTTGGCAGCGACGACATCCAGCTTCTTGCCCGTAGCCGCTTCAAAAACGACTTTCTGCCCGCAACAATTCACACACACAACCATCAGCGACTCATGCGCAGTATGCATTAACCACAACGCAGTCCCGAGGTCTCGCACCGGAGCCTTCTTGGCCAGCGTCTTGACGGCCTTGCGCCCCATGTTTAATTGATCCCGTGCCAGTCTCTGTCCCACAATAAGTTGTTTCAGAAGCACCACCGACTGTACCAAATACGACACCGAACCTGACTGCCGCCCCCGAATGGCTCGTTCGCCAGTCATTATCAACAGTCACACAAGTCGAAGATGGTCGAGACCCGGAGGACGTCGCGCCGCCTGCAGGCCAAGGCCGCGGCCGCCGGCGCGAGCCCGTCGCCGTCGCCGTCGCCCATGAACTCGCCCGCCGGACGCAGCCCCAGCACGCGCAAGTCCAGACGCACGCCGTCGCCGCGCGGCCGCGCCAAGAAGGCGCAGGAGACGGCGCAGGAGATCCCGCTCGAGCCCTCGGACGAGGACGACAGCGCCGTGCAGCAGCAGCAGCAGGAGGAGGAGGGGAAGGAAGAGCAGGAGGTGATCGTCATCGGATCGGAGACGGAGTCGGAGGAGCAGGAAGTGGAGAAGAAGCAGGAGCAGGAGCAGGAGAAGCCTACGGAGGAGGAGAAGGAGGAGGCACGCTCAGTGGAGGAGGATGTTATTGTCATGGAGAAGGAGCAGTCCACGCAGGAGCAGGAGACTGAGGAAGAGGAGGAGATTATGCTGCTGGACGATGATGAGGAGGAAGAAGAGAAGGAGGAGGAGAAGACCGAGGAAGACGATGAGGACGACGACGACGAAGACGTGGATCAATACGTACGCCCTGCCACCTTGCAATTTGAGGTTGTTTTGTGGCTCTAGCTGACGTTGTGTTTTTGCTTTGTTGCAGGCGTTCCTGGCTGCGTCGGGCTTGAACTTGTCCACGAAGTCGAACATTGCGTCCTCCACCGCTGCGTCATCAACGCCTGCTGCCTCAAAGCCATCTGCGACTGCCGCGTTGAAGCGGCGGCTCGTGCCGAACCAACTGGACAGCGGTGCATCGCAGTACCAGGAGTACTTCAACTTTGAGGGCTCGAGGCGCTTGTCGGCCGCGACGCTGCGTGCTGATGCGCGTGCTGCGGAGGAGGCCAAGGTGCTGGCGGCTGGCCAGAAGGCGATCGCGCACTCGGAGCGACAGCGCACCGAGTCACAACACAAGAAGTCGGCGGGTCGCAGGTGGTTCAACTTCGAGTCGGACGAGATGACGGACGACGCGCGCCGGGACTTCCAGCTGCTGCGCATGCGTAACTACCTGGACCCGAAGAAGTTCTACAAGAGCTCGGACCACTCGCGCGCGCTGCCCAAGCACTTCCAGATGGGCGTGGTGGTCGAGGGCGCGCACGAGTTCCACTCGGCGCGTCTCACCAAGAAGCAGCGCCGCAAAACCTTCACGGACGAGATCATGGCGGACGAGGCCGTGGTGCAGTACACCCACCGCGTGGCCTGCAACATCCAGGCCGCGCGCGCCAACACGGGCCGCAAGAAGAGACGACGCAACTAGACTAAGCGTGAAAGTGGCTCCGCGACCGAGCAATATAGATTTTCGTGCATTCCTGAACGCCTTCGACTCTTGTTCGTCGTTGCCGTGTCTGTCTGCAGGCAGTTGAGATTGCGAACAAGCAGCGGCGGTGATTGTTCGTGGCCCGTTGCCTCGTCGTGAGGAAGCTTACGAACAAGAGGCCGCAGTGCTCTCCATCACAACTCGAGCGACACCCAAGCCATTGCCATTGCCACTGCCGCTGCAACGCCGTCGTCGCTAGCGTCACTCGAGCAACTCGCTACGCGCGACTCGTCGTGGTGCTTGGGGCCATCCCACCGGTGGCTGGTCAAGTCAAGTTGAAAAAGCTGTGGAGAATCGCGACCAACTGTAGCAGCAGCCAACGCAACGCGCCCAGTAGATACATTACCAAGCTGTCGAGCTCGATCGCGGCGAGCGTGGGCCGACCCCGAGCGCCGGCGCCTCATAGTTCGACTGCTTTTCGGCGGTGCGACTGGAGCGCTGACGCTGGTGCTTCTCCACGAGACGCTCAAGGGAACGTGCAGCACTCCGTGGGAAGCTGTACGCTTAGTCGAGCGTTTGGCTGCCGTCGTGGCCTCAACGATCGTCGGGTTCGTGGCACGCGGGTGCAAGCCCAGATCCAAGAAGTGGACGCTGCGCTTCGAGGACTCGAAATGTATACCCCGGGAAATTTTTTCCGTATGCAAAGTCGCATGGATCATGAATTATGGATGGTTACTTCAACGAGGCGAGCATTCCCTCCCGGTCAAGCTTCGATTTTGTTTTAGCATTTCTAGATCGTTGTCCAGAATGTTCTCGTATCCTAAGTGCTGCTTTGTCCTGAAATGCACCACTTTTCACACGTGAAAGAAGATAGTCGCAGACTCTCTCTCCGCATCCGAGCTACTACTTTCCGGCCGCCTTCTTGGCCGCCTCGATGTATCGTTTCACATCGATATCCGGTCTGTTGATGATCTTGTTAATACTCGCAACGGGGGCTTTCCATACCCCACCGTTCCCGTTCCCCCTGCCGCTCTGGACAACTTGTTGGCCTGCAAACCGAAGGGATCTTTTGGCCGCAGAATCAGGAGATACCTTCGACAAGAGCGGAGAGTCGTCAGGATTCGAGGGCTCTGCGACGACGGTGCTGCAAGCTAAAGCCGCAAAGCCAAGAGCAACGTAGAATAGACTGCGCATGACTGTGGAGGAGAGGGAGTCCGCTGGAAAGAAGGGTCTTGTGGTCTTGAAAGACAAACGTGGAATGACTGCCGACCATCGTAGGATAGTTGACGATGCCCCGCACTGTACTGTATCGTCAGACAAAAACTGAAGACTTGTCACAATGTTGACTCTGTGCAGCATCAACTCCCCAGCAGAAAATAGTATCACAGGTGGGTGTTCATAGCCGCGGCGCCAACTGGGTGCGAGTACGTGCCAAAATCCGCGCGGTATTTGCGGAGGCGGGCCCAGCGCCGAGCTCACCAGCAAGCCGTGCATTACACTCTTCACCCGCATGCACTCTCCAGGACATCGTATCTTCATATCGCGAGCATAAGGAATCACGGGGGTGCCGAAGGCGTCTCTAAGGCGTCTCTAATCCTCGATTACTTCTTGCAACATCCAGGAAGAAGTCAAAAGATTTGCTGTCGTCTAGGACATGTTAGGCCAACACATAACATTGTTAGCATGAGATGAGGCCCTCCATTTGGGTAAACAGATGACAGTAGGTAATGCCCCAAAAAGGGCAACACGCGAACCCAAAAGGGCCGACCCACGCCTCCATTCGAGGCTCGAACAAACCAAACCAAACCAAACCAAACCAAACCAAACCAAACCAAACCAAACCAAACCAAATGGTTTGGTTCGAACGTTTCATAAAAGAATACCGATTTCGAACCTGAAACTCTCGGTATACTGGTTCCTTGAAACCAATTAAACCATCGTGGCGCGGACGAACCGTACGTTTTAGTTTGAAAATGGCGCCCGACACCGTAGAACCAAGTAGCCGCAACGAACCTTGGTTCAAACGGTTACTTGGTTTTGCTCATTCTGCGAACCATTTGGTTTGGTTTGGTTTGGTTTGGTTTGGTTTGTTCGAGGCGTGGGCTGACTCACATTTGCTGTTTACGGGTAAACTGCGAGTTGACCCAATTTCTTTGTTGAGAGTCACTGCGCCCCTGGCCCAATAGCAAGTTGAGGGTCAACTGCATAACTGACCTACGTTCCCCGCTCTGGGTTATCTATAGCAAATTCCGATGAAAAAGGGTGATTTATAATGTGATGCCTTGTTGTGGTAAGAACGCAGCCGCACTCGATTCCGCGTGAACTGCACGATCGGGTGATCCTGCTAAAATGGCAAAAAAATAAATAAACTAGAGCTCTGCGTAGGCTGGGATAGCTTGGTAGTTCGCATTAGTACTTCACCATAAATCACGCCGCGAATAGAGTAAGGTATCTAGCGGGTCACATTGCCAGAGTGTCAGAGCTATACGTTCAAGTACGGGGACTGCTGGCACATGAAAAATGGTAGGGCTAACAAAACACAATAGAAGTTTGGTAGTTGACTATGGCAAATGAGCAGATAATCAGCGGGCACGTAACGCCAGTACGAGTACTGCATTCCTCCTGCACCGCCCGATACTTACGTATCTTATATCTCCATCGAAGGGTTATTGTTTGACCTGTTTAGTTAGCTGACAAGAAAGACACAAAAACAAAAAAGCGTTCTCAGGAATTCGGTAATTCTAACATGCAGCACAGCTACCACCTTCTCAATTAACAGTACCGGTAAACGTGCGAGAACTGCTTCTAGGAATAGCGATATTTTTTGCTACGTTGGGTCTACAGCTACGGCATCTAACCTTGGTTTGCAAGTGGAGGTATGAAAAGAAATATAGATCGACTGTGGTTTGATCAATACTGCAAGTAAAACCTCACGCACGCAGCAGGTTATCGTCATTATTCTTGTGCGTCTTGATGAAGGTCTTGGAGCGACTTGTCTCCCGAACGAGTCTAGTTTTTGAAAGCTTTGTACCAGGGTAGGTAGGGCCTGTAAAACAACAAACAAAGTACCATGTTCAACACCATTCTCTCTCCTCAAGAGACAACAAGCTCCTACCTTCACGGCTGTTCCGTCCACAGCAAGCAACACAGCGCTGACAAAATAGATTTCACAACAAACTTTCGAATGAGCGGCGTCGCCTGCTGCTCCGTTGACACAGTCTTACGACGTTATTATAATAATGGTACCACAAAATATACTTTTCGCCCCAGCTATCACTGATAGATAGCCTATCAGCAGTACTACCGGTATTGGTCGCAGTCAACGTGATGACTGCGACAATGAATCTTGCGGATAACGCAAAGTAAGATTATAGTACCCCGTGCGTAACGGAATCCTGATGATCAGGCAGAAATCAAGTGAACTATAACGACAAACTAGATGCCCATTTAACGACAACTTTAATGACGGCAACTGCAGCTCCACTGGTTAGCAGGAGCCGCAGCATTAGGAGTAACTCGTGTCCCTACTTGCGCCGTTCCGTGCCAACTGCGCCACCGACTTGATCGCTGCGGTAGCCTATACATTTTGATCCGATCTTACTGCCGAGGTTTGGCCAGGTAAAGTTGGATGAAATGCAGTCTAATATATCATCTAGCTATCGTGGCTATTCAATACTTTATCTATCGAATCAGACTAAGCATATTTCTTTCAGCGTATTTAGCTTTTATTTTTGCTTTAAATTGATTTAACCGCGTACCGCTCAGCTCGTTGCGCTTTACAGCAATGTTATGATTGTAGCACCACCCTATTTTCAATGTTGAGAGACGTTGTTTTCATTGATTAATTGCGCATTATTGTGGGGTGTGCCTCCGGCCCGAAGAAGCTCTGAAATTTCAGGTTTTCAAAAAAAAATTGGTGAGGCAAAAGAGGAAAGGGATGCACGTTAGGTTGAAATGTTCTTCTCCTCGACACTTCAGCAATTTCAGCGTTCTTATCCAATTTTTCAATCGCTGCAAGATCCACGCTCAGCTTCTCCACGAAATTCGGGTTCCTCTCCATGACCTTGTCCAGCTTGATCACAATGGACATACTATCCTCTTCACAGCACTTCTCAGAGTGGAAACACGCCGGATTACACAATTCAACATGCAGACAGTTTACCTGCTCCTGGGGGCGCTTGTTGTCAGCGCCAATGCCGCTATTGTCGCTCAGGAATAAGCTACACAAGCAACTACCACGTACTCACAGTGCTAACGAAGATAGAGAGCTACCAACTAACGAAACGAGAAGGAGGAGAACATGTTCGCACCCTCAGCTGTCGCAAATTGCGACTCGCAATCCTCAGAGGTCTCCTCGGGAAAATCACTGGTACCGTCATGAGCTGAAATGGACTCATCGTACGGCATCCCTCCGCTGGGCACTTTTGAGATGATGAGGTATATTGGACAACTTCTCCTAACGAGGATTGAGTCCTAGCAACCCTACTTCCGTGGTTTAACACTCGGCCGCTTCCTCTCCACTATTCCCTTGTAGGTGTTGATCTATTAGTGCCTCTGTTGCATCTGTGTGCGTGTTAGCCCACTCAAGCATACATCGCGACACTAGTGTGTCGATATGTGGGAATCTTGCCTGAATTGCCTCTGTTTCGAGGTCGTGCGTCAGCTCTTCCTCCGTTACTGTCAAGGCCAGGGTGCGCGCTGCAGCGTTCCCCGACTTGCTCAAGAGTGTCCATGACGCGACTCGCACTCTGTCCGCGGTACGTCTGCACTTAAGAAACCACATTTGTAGTCGTCTTGCTTTTGGTGGCGCTCGAGTTTTAAGTACTCGCAGGATCAGCTCGTTGTCCCCAGCGACATGGATGCCTCTGAGTCCACGTGTGTCTGCAGCGCTGAGCAGATGATAAAGGGCGACAAAAGCAGCAATATTGTGAGTGCATGATGGCGATGGGAGTGAGAAACTTGTTCCCCACAGGCTCCCACTTAGTACGCCATGACGGGCA